GTTACTGATGAACTGCTTTACGCAGTTGAAGAGAAGCTTAAGCAAAACCGTAAGTTTACAATTAGTGCTCTCGTTACGGAATTTCCGCAAATCTCACGATCACTAATTCATGAAATTGTTACTGAAAAACTGAAATTTCGAAAACTTTGCTCACGTTGGGTACCCAAAATTCTTACTGAACAACACAAAAAACAACGGATGGGCAGTGCGCTTCAGTTTTTGACACGCTACAATGAAGATGGTGATGATTTTCTTTCTCGGATAGTCACGGGGGATGAAACTTGGGTATCTTACGAGACCCCTGAAACTAAACGGCAATCAATGGAATGGAGGCACACTTCGTCCCCAACGAAGGTTAAGCCTAAGCAAATCTTGACGCCTCGAAAATTCATGTGCACCGTTTTTAGGGACAAAAAAGGCATTTTGCTGATTGATTTCTTACCACGAGGCCAAACAATCAATGCACGTGTTTACTGCGAGACCATTAAGAAATTGCCCCGCGCAATACAGAACAAGCGCCGAGGATTACTGTCTGAAGGTGTTGTTTTTTTTACACGATAATGCCCGACCTCACACTGCGAACGTGACAAAAGAACTCCTACAGGAATTTGACTGGGACGTGTTTGACCATCCTCCGTACAGCCCTGACCTCGCTCCTGGCGACTTTCATTTCTTTTTACACTTAAAATCTTTCCTTGGTGGTCAACACTTCAACGATGACGACGAGCTGAAAGAGCATGTTACTACGTGGTTGAAAACACAGGCGGCAACCTTCTATGAAGAAGGCATACAAAAACTTGTGCCACGCTATGACAAGTGCCTACAAAATTTCGGAAGCTATGTAGAAAATTAGTTTCACAGTTGTAGATTTTTGTGCAATAAATATTATTTCTGTATCTGTACACGTTTTTTTTATATAAGCAAACGGAACTTACTTTGTGGATATACCTCGTATATTAGAGAGCACTCCTTTAGCATACAATTTTCTTACTTGTTCTTGAATTTAATGAGGAAAATAATTTTTTAAGCATAAAATAATAACGTAAATAAATCAAAAGAAAAGCAATCAAATCTTTAAAACTTTTACACTATCTACTCAAATAATATTTAAAACACTGGTCTATAGCTGGAACTAATTAAATTTTACTAAAAATAACAACACATATTACTGCTATGGAGTCTTTAAAAAAATCTTTAACAATTTATTGAAGTTAAAGAAATTACAGACGTTGAAACATTTAATAAAAATTTTTGGAGCTGTAAGAGAACACGCAACCTAGAAAATTCGTAACAACCATAACGTACAATTAAAAAAAAAAAAAGAACCTAACATAGTAAAAATGAAGAAGCTTTCTCAAATAGGTGGCTAGGACATGTATTTAGATATAGCGATAAAAATCCTGTTATAAAATATAACCTTCCAAACACCAGAGGGGAAAAGAAAGAGAGGAAGACCTAGAACAAGATGGTTAAATAGAGTAGAGGGGGGGGGGAAAAAGGCCTTGGGAGTTAATAATGGGAGAAGATATGGATGAGAAATAAGAAAGAGAAACAATTGAGAGGGCGAATAGATTTAGATGGGGTAAACTGACTAAGTTGGCATTAGCTGGTAACCGGCTGTAGTGCCTAAGAATGAAATACTAAGTGTCTTACAACAAAAATTAAATTAAACAAATTTTAAGAAAGGTTAACAATCAGCAATACACAAATGTTGCAAGTGTCTTAAACAAAATATAAACAGAATTCCCCCTAATTCACCAAGGAAGATAGGTGTTGCCCATTTTGAATTATTGACAGGTCAAGATTACCTTCCACAGTATCTGATAGTATCGGCATAGCAACCTCTGCCTCATGCCCTTTGTATGGGCATGAATGGACAACACCTCTTTGAGTGTACAAAATTTAAAGATATTTATAGTGTGAATACTTTCCATTCTGGTTTTCTGCATCTCTATAGGACAGCAAGATAACACACAGCCGTTCGGCCAAGGCTGGGCGTAAGATTAAAAAAAAAAATATTTTCACTCAATAATGGTCAATAATATTTTTGACCATTACTGAGAGAACTCAATATTATAAATGGTAAATAATATTTTTGACATGGTAAAAAATATTTTCTCTCAATAACGGTCATCTGAAAGCAACTTTTTTCTTTACTAACTTTGAATTTGGATTGACAAGATTCAAAATATTTCTCCAATGACTTATAAAATACAGGTCCTACTATATTTTAAATTATAAAAGTAAATTCTTCGACAAAAAACTGCAAGTTCAAGCTGAGTTTTAGCTACATGTTAAAATAATTACAAATATATTTTAGTTTGCATGTAGAATTTTTTTAAAAAATAAACAAATAACAATGTAAAGCAGAGTATATTGTATTGAATCGCTAACCTGCTGCAACAAACAAAACATTTTAGCCCTTTTTCTGTATAAGAATTTCAGAAATAACAGGATTAAAAAAGTACACTATTCCAATACTTGTTTGTCATACATACATTAAAAATTAATCGTGTTTATTTTAAAAACTTAATAAATTTGATAACTAAAAAAATATTAGGCTGAAAATGAAAAATATAAAATTGAATAAACATTTTCAATAAAATATTTAAAAAAAACTAGATTATTGGAAAATGTTAAAAATTAGTTTGAAATGCTTAAAAATTTTTTAAATTATTTAAAACTGTAAATAATTTAGAACTGTTTTTTCCCCCTTTTAAATTACTATCTATTATAAATTTTTAGATTACTCACTTAAGAATTCTTATAGTTTCCCCTTTACTTTAATAGGAAAAAAAAAACATGAAAATTCACTGTACATCTAAGTTGTTATTTACAATATTTTTTTATGTAAATTTAAAATGTAACAGAAAATTTCATATGTACAAAGACGAAAGATAAACTATTTAAACAATGTAAAAAATTTCACATGTTTAAAAAGATTTTAAGTAATTCGGAACTATTTTCCTTTTAAATTAGTATTCATTATAAATTTATGTCGTAAAGAATTATCTGGGCCTTAGAACGAATAAAATAAATATTTGAAAAGTTATTTACCTTTTTAAAAATTGCCAATTTGGCAAAATTTTTAAACATAAATGAAAATTATTAAAATCACTGCCTTATTCTCAGTTTTTAAAAATTTTTATTAACCCAGATAATACAGCATTGGAGTAAGTTTTTAAATATTAAAAATTTAGACCACAAACGTTTTTCATTTTTACAAAACTGGGTTTTTTCACCATATTGACATTTTATGCTATTTTCAGAATAAGAATAGAGAGCACTGACTATAGATTTTTTCAAACATTCATCATAACATAAAACTAACAAAAAAATTAAGTACTGACTATCAAACAAACAAAATAATAATTAGGCAGGCTATATTTATAACAGAATCCCAGAAATTAAATAAAAATAGAACTGATAAAATTAAATATGCATTTGTTTTACTGCACATCAATTTAAAATAATAAGAAAATTAATAATTTTTGTTCTTTTTAAAAGCTATAGCAACCCACTCCAGTAAACTCATAACTCAAGTTTGGGTCACGGCCCATAACTCAAGATTGGGTCACGACCCATAACCCAAGGTTGAGTCATGGGTAAGTTGGGATATCATGCAATATTCTTTTATCTACAATTAAATTCATTAATTTCTTAATAATCACCTTATCTTTCTTGATATCTGAAGTGACAAGTTAAGAATTTAACAAAAATTAAAATGCAAAACAAATTAATACATGTTTAAGAATTTATTTTTTATTCTTTTCTATAAACAGTAAGTCACAATAAATCCATGCATTATAGTTAAATGCATTTAAAACAATTCTCAAAAGAAAAACTTCCAAAAAAATAAAATTCTAATAAAACAACATTAAAAAATAAAGAACTTTTTTTAAATTCAAAATGCTATTAAAGCTTTTACATGATACACACTTAGGTCACATGTAATAATGATTATCAAAATATATAAGTATATAAGGGAAAAAAAACCTAAAAATACTGTTTTGCTATTTTATGTCTTTATGCAATGATATGAATTTTCATTTTAATTCAAAGTGCTATCATAATTATTACTTGTTGCACACTATATGCTACATTTAAGAATGAGTATCAAAATTTTTGAGGATAGAAGGAAAAAAAAGGAACTAAAATTATTGTTCTGTTAATCCATGATTATAGGTAATCATATGGTTCTTTAAATGATGCTTCAAAGTAAAGGATTTATTACAAACTGTGCACATATATGGACGGTTACCAGTATGAATACGGACATGTTTTCGAAAGTTACTACCATCATGAGTTGAATAACTACAATCTGAACAAGTCCTTAAAGTTAAGCGACGCTTGGTATAAGTAGAATATTTTGCTGTTTTCACATCTGTGCCTACAAAATACGTTTGAAAAGTTAATTATTTGAGATAATCTTTCAAATAGGTAAAAATTAAAAATAATTTATAAGTAAAAATATCTTTTAAAATAATTGAATATTACAAGAGAAATTACTTGTGTTTCAAATAATTTCATGACTTCAAAAAATTACATTTTTACATTACAACATGTTTTTTCCAAATATAAAAGCTAGTTTATAGGAAAAAATAATTTTTTTAGCACATTTTTTTTCTTTTCTTCTTGTATAAATGTTAACATTAACTTAATAGCAAATGAAATATACCTTCTTAAATCAGTTTTATTCCAAATTTTAAATGCATAGGAAAAAGCATTCAGTACTTCAAGTTGCATATAAAACGATTATGTATCTTTGAAAGTAAACTAAGCATGCTATGGAAATATTTTTAAAAAGTTTTTAAAAAAAATTAATATGCATTAAAATATGTAATTTTGAAAAATAACAAAATACAAATAAAAATACATAATTTTGAAAAATTACAACAAAATACTGATAAAATATGCATTATTTTAAATACTAAAACTAATTTTACAGAGAATATTTTTTTACAAACAAAAATAAATTTGAGGTAAATAAACCTGAAAATAACAGTACAAAAAGAAAGCTATATTTTTCCCTATTAACTGCTTTAGAAAAAATATAGCAATCAACACTTTCTTCAATTAATTAAGAGTGCGCTAAAATCCTTATAACACCAATGTAAACACCTAGTTATTGCACAAATTTCCTTGAAACTAAAATGAGAAAAAAAAAGTAGTATATGGCTAAAATAAATATACATATTTTAAAAATAAAATTGCTTTCACCTTAGTAATATAGCTCCAAACTTCACAAATAAAGATGAGAAAATTTTTAACTTATTTCATCAACAAACAACACTGAACACTAAGTACAGAAAGTAGGAACACCTAATTGATAAAAGTGGGACTACGGTATTTCACTTAATTACTGAAAATGAATTCAACATTAAGAAAATATTAATGCAAAATTGGATGGCCGTCAATATGCTACACAATTTAGTAATTGTAGTATATCAACAAGTGTACCTGGAACAATAAAGCTAGTATGTCATGATTTAATATTATAAATAGGGTTTTGAAAGAAATATTCTAACCAAAACAAGCTTTTTATTAAAATCCTCTATACATCTTGACTTACACAAAAATACATTAAAATGTCTTTCAAGCACAAGATAAAAAATCAAATTTACTAAAATTCTATTAATTTTCTACAATTAACACAAAAAAAACAACTTTAAAAGCAACTTTTCAATAATAAAAACGTGTTTGCAATAGAAAAATATATCCAAAGATTTCCTTATCAATATTAATAAATAGTTTAATGTCATTAGAAACAATATTAATGAAAATGTCATTATTGTGAAAAGTTAGAGAGTTAACAATTGTACAATTTAACTAACTCCAATAAAGTTTTGGAAATATTATAAACTTATTTCTTAAGGCTGGAAAAATAATTAAACCAGAAAATGCTAAGTAATATTATGTAAGCTAATAATATATTAAGAAACATTCAGAAGAATTTTGAATATTTATCAAAATTAAACGAACATTAATATGAAATACAAATATATAAATAGGAGTAAAACAAAAAACTAAACAAATTATAGAGATCTTTTTTGATGCTTAACAAGTAAAAAAAAAGAAAAAGCTTTTTAAAATATGTAAGAAGAAAACAGGTACATACACATCTTGATTAAATTGAGGGGAGAGAAAATTTTTAACTTCACTTTCCTGATTGCGATTAAACTTCAAATTTTATTAACTTATCTTTTTTATATTATTTTCATAAAACTTAACATTGAAATTGCTTAAAATTGTAATCCTATGATTTTTTTTTTCTACTACACATGCTAATGCAAATTTTACAAAACTTGTAACTGAATGATTCTCTGTTTTAGCAATGTACAATTTATTCAAATTTTAAAATGCATATATTGTGTAATTTTCTAATAAATGGATCAGGTCATGGCTTAAAATTATTTATACCAAAAGTAATACTTAACCTTGCCGATCTATTAAAAAAAAAACTTTTAGCACTTGTAAGAATTATAAGAATTGTGTTAAAAACAAATATTAAGAAAAACAACAACATACTTGCCAACATTCATTCTTTTCGAGAATGGAGTTTCCAAGTGGTAGTAAAACAATTACCGAAAAACAGTTTTACTCAAAAAGATATTTATATTTTAACCAGGTTGAAATTCGCTACTGTGAGGACTAATATGCTTTTTATATATTCGTTGTAATTATTTATATGTAGTGGTAGTCAAACTCATTTATAATTATTAATATAATTCAAAACGTTTAGGGAAATAACATGAATTTTGCTAGCACTTTAAGTACGAAAAAAAATCTTCCGGGAAAACCGGAAGAGTTGGCAGGTATGCAACAAAGTTTTTTGTTCACCATAAGTAATGAAAAATTGATTAAGGGGTAAAAAGTAATTAGGATTAAAAATAATTAACAACATTTTTATAATATATTTAAAAAGAGCAAAAAAAAAAGCATAAATAAAATAACTTCATTTACAATTATCTGCCGTCTTTTTAAAATGATAAAAGGAAAAAAAATTAGCTATAAAAACTGCATAAGTAATCAAAATCATTATTTTTAAAAAAACATTTAAGAAAATCTTATTTTTTTAAAATAGATAATGATAATTATTTATAACAAAATTATTTTAACTAATTTTCTCACATAGCATCTAAAAATTGAAAATAATAAAAAAAAAAGGGATTGAAGGGAAATTTTTAGACTTGTAAAAACAAATGATCTATAACAATGGAGATAAGAAAGAATTATTTTTACTTTAGAACATTAGAAGGTTGGGAGAAAAAAAAAGCTTTAGAACTTCTAACATTTATGCTAAAATACAATATTGTTGAACCATAGTCAAATTGCAAAAAATTTATTGCATTAGATGAGATTAAAAGCACTATATTTTAAGATTTGAAGGTTAAAAATAAAATAAAATAAGTTTTAGAACTTTTGCAACAGATTTAGCAATATTAAAACACAGTTATTCAATATTGTTATAACACAAAAATATTGCGAACTATTTATAACATCAGTAAAGACTACAGAAATCTATTGATTAGAAATTTGAAAAAAGTAAAGAAAAAACTTTAAAGCCTGTAAACAAATGGAAGTACTAAGATTAGAAGATCAGAAAGTTTTAAAAAAAAGATTTAGAACCTGTAGCAAATCAAGCAATGTTAAAATACTATCATCAATATTAACATACTACAGATAAAAATATTGTAAACTAGCATATCACAAAAGAATTTTAAAAAAAACATCATTAAATTGGAAGTTTATAAGTGAATTTTAAAAATATATATATAACTTGTAAAAGATTGAAAAATGTTAAAATACAATATACTGGTCCTTAGATTGTTTGAAATAAGATTACCCACAAACAAGTACTTAATATTAAGGTATAAAGGCTAATTCATTCTCGAGTTGAAGTATATAGCTGTAAATGTGGACCTTTGTGTTGTCAGATACACACTAATAGTTCTTAACCAGCTGGTCTATTGATTCTTTAAAATATGATTACCCACAAACAGTTACTTCAAATGTTAAGGTATGAAAGTTAATTCATTTGCAAGTTAAAGGATATAATTTCACATGCATATCTTCATGCTGCCAGATAAACACAAACAGTTCCTAACAAGTTGGTCTGTCGAATGTCGAATACCTACAAACAATTACTTAAAGTATGAAAGCTAATTTGTTCACAAGTTGAAGAATATAACTGCATGCGGACCTCCATGCTATCAGATATGCACTATCCATACTTAACTTACTCTTTTATTCAGCTTAGTTCTGAAGTAATATTGAAAATAAAAATAATTTTATTCTCGATTGGCTTGCTGATGAATCAATAAATGAGTCTGTAAATGGTGTTTGCGTGTGAAAGCTTTAGCACAGTTTTCACATTTAAATGGACGCTCACCAGTATGAATCCTCATATGTGCCTTCATATGTGATGAGTGATCGGTAGAATAATTACAATAGGAACAAAAATTCACTTTTCTCTGACCTTTTGATGGTCTACCTCTCCTAACTTGAATTAAGTTTTCAGATTGATTCATAAAAGAACTTAATACATAATCTTCGCCTATAAATAAAATAATTGTGATGACATAAATATTGATAAAGAAATGTTATTAGAATATAGGAACTATATGAATATTAGAAATATTAACCATAATAATACACAGATACAGGAGAAGTAGCATACAGTAAGGGAGATTGCTGTAACTATTTTAAGTTAAAAATAAAATCATGATGAACACAACATTAAAAGTTTACCTATTTCAAAAGCTAACTGATCCCCAAACAGTTGCTTTGACAATAGTAAAAAATTTATAAGTTTATAAAATCTGTGTGTATTACAAAATTTACACAAATATAACGAGCAATTCTTTACAGAGAAAAGGGATTATGAGGAGTCTTTGTATCAATTAACAAGAATAAGGAACAATTTGTCTTTCTAAATCCTTACATGCACAGCCAACAACATTCATCCATGACTAACATTATTTATCGACGATAATAGTTGGCACAAATTTCTATACAATTTTGACACTTTTAAATGATGTGGTTGGTACTTCAAATGATAGTACCAGTTTCGAACCTTGCAAGGATGTCATTTTTTAGCCTTGCTCTTTTATTATTATCTTTTTTTTTTTTTTTTTTTTTTTTTTNAAAAAAAATCAAAATCTTTTTTTTTTTTTTTTTTCATTTCACTCATAAAATCTAAAAATTGTTAGTCTATGTCACTCACCTTTTTTTTAAAAAAATAAATAAATAAACAACTATACTGTTTCAAAAAGTGTACTTATTTGCTTGTCTCTTAAATGTAACAAAAAAAGATTGAATTTTCAAGAAAATAAGTGGCATCAAATAAGATTGCATACACTACAGTCTTTGTGATTTTAAATCACACAAATGCAATTGAGATAAATGCAAAATGAAATAGATTATCTTAAAAATAAACTACTGTCATGTGATAAAGAAAAAAACCCTACTGGAATGGTTCAACACTAGAAAGACAATTGTATTTCAAGGAAAAAATTGCTAACTATTTCTAACTATTTTTTTTTTCTTTTTAAGTATTTAAACACTAACATATTATAGTTGTTTGTACGGACCAGCAATCACAAACCTTTTAAGGTAAATTCTGGAATTCTGGATGTATAATTTTGTCTTTTATCTTCTTAAATATTAGTAATTTCATAAGGAATAAAATATCAAATAAAAAGGGTATAAGGTAGAATTTAGCACCTTTCAATTCCGATTTTGCAGATGATCTTCGTCTGTGAATTAGTACCTTAAAGTTATGAAAACAAATATAGATATTTTGAAGATTTGCAAAGATTATAGATTATATAAAAAGAGATTATAGACAAACTAAAAGAACATAAAAATAGGAAAATTAATGCAAAAAAGACAAATATTTACCTGGTCACTCATAAAGTAGAAGTTAAGAGCTTCTCAAAAGTAAGTTGTTAAGTGAGTAATAAGGCAGGAACTAATGAATTTGTTTTAAACAGATTAAATAAAACCAGATAAGTTTTTTTTTCTTTTTGCTCTAAAAAATTTCTGAAAGAACTCAATCAGAGCTAAGCTGGAAAAACTCAATCAAAACGAACTCAGGATAAAACAATTTATGAAAGAACTCAATCAAAACTAAGTTAAGACTAAACAATTTCAAGAAGAACTCAATCAAAACTAAATTAAGACTATCCAATATCTGATCTTCTTTATGAAGCAGAATCTTATCATAAATATAGCTAATATGGAAAAATTCCAAATTTTCAGCTTGAACAATTCATTTAACATTTTTGCACAAAAGTAATTATTTGGACGAAACCACAATTCACCATTAAAACTTCTACGACATGATTACTATATTGCTGATTGAAATCGATGATTTTTAAAATTAGATGTGATTAACCAATAATTGTGAAACTATAAAACTCCATGCTACAAGGTTTGTTGCTGCATCTAGCAAGTTTTATGGGAATGACTTTTCAAAAAGAGGGACTTGGAATAAGCATGAAAAGAGGCGGATGAAAGTATTTTAATTTGTAAACAGACACAATTTGCAAAAAGAGAAAAAAAATTTATGGGCCCAAATTAATAATTTAAAAAAAGGGAGTAAGCAGTTTTACTCCTTACAAACTCAGAAACTATGAAGGGACAAAAACTTTTTAACCAGAGGAAACACAAAAAGGTAAATCTTTCACAATTTCCCAATTGTATAAAAAAGGCAGTGACAGTTTGACAATGGTCAGTATTGCCCACAAGCCACTTTTACTTCCCAAATAAGCCCTCGATTTGAAGCTGGACGGGCTTCAAACCACCACTGGGTATCAAACCCCCGATTCTTCACAATGACAGTTCAGTGCCTTAACAACTGAGCCATCACAGCCAAATGTTAATTGATATATATGCTTATAACATTTTTAATTCAATAAAGCTCTTAATAATCAAATTAATTCATCAAATCACAATAACATGTTCTGGTAAAAAAACAAACTGAAATATAACTAAAAAAAATTTGTAACAATACTTTATTTCTTAAATAGAACACTTTTAACCTATACATCAAATTGATATTTAAATTTTCATTACAAGATTTTGAGAAAAATTTCTTCTCTTCTTCAATTTAATGTATTTCAAAATTCGTTAACAATTGAATCATGAATGATACCAATCTGCACTTTTTTTACAGAATGTTAAAAAAAAAACAAAAAAAATTCCCAAAGAATGATTAGCATGAAAAAATTATGACTAATAATAATTTGAAATGCATACACAACATTAGAATTCGTTACAACACAACATATTTTAGGATCCCAAACTATTACCAATGTATCATGAATATAAAAGTTAAGTACTGAAACACATCACAACTGAATGCACATTCAAATGTGGATAACTGCTTATAAATTCTATGTGATAATAAGATGGTGCATATTAAATTATTCCTTTATATAAGAGAGCTACATTGCAAGTGTTTCTTTCTTATTTATTTCTTAATAATAGTTTTAGTTCGTTAACAATTGAAACCAGCAGTTAGCAACATATCTATCACAAAACCTTGTTCAGTGCAAGCCATTATGAAAAAAAATTAACAATAAAACCTCGAGTTAGGAATGCTTGACTTCAGTATTCTACTGTCTTTACGATAAGTTCACTGCAGGATAAAATTTTAAAACACTTTTTACACATAAAATAAGAGAAATTTTCATAAATTTGGCTGCAGTTGTATATACCATTTAAAATTAAGCAAAGAAACTTTGTTGAATATAATTAATTCTAAAATGTGCTCCATGTGACAAAAAATTTTCATAAAAGTGAAGAAATTAATCAAAATTTAACATCATAGCAAACAAAAAGTGATAAACTCATTCCTTAAAAAAGTTGAATTTTTTTTTATAAGACTGATGAATTATTAAATGATATTTGTGAGGAAAAAACATTGTGTCAATGATCATAGATAACATAGTAATAGATAACATGGCCATAGATAGATAATTTAATAGTCATAGATAACATCCATGCAAATATCCTTAGTATAGATATTACAATTTCTAGAGGTGAGAAATTGAAATTTTAAAATTTAAAGCTTATAAAATAGAAACAAAATAAAAACAAATATTAATCAAAATACAGTATCACAGCAAAGGAAAAAAGTAATTATATAACTTATTCATTACAATAAAAAAATTAAATTTTTTTAGATTGATGAGTAAAGAGGTGACTCTGTAAATGGTGTTTGTGAGTAAAAGCTTTGTTGCACTTTAAACATTTAAATGGGCGTTCACCAGTATGAATTCTCAAATGTCCTTTTAAGTGGGAGGAATAGCAAGTAGAATAATCACAATAAGAACAAAAGTGAAATTTTGCTCTCATAGAATCACACACTTTAACACCTTGCAAATTATTTTGAGCTTCAATAATCCTGAAAGATTTTAATATACTGTTTACACCTAAAATAAAAGAAATTTTGATAAAAATAGCTGATATTACATGACATTCAAAATTAAAAAGAAACTTAGTTATTTTAAAGAAATGTTTTGTTAGTCAAAATAGTAAGAAGCTACTTTTTTCATTGTACAGTTTACAAAATAGTAAATAGTTAAAAAAAAAAAAAAATATGAGAACAAATCACAGGAAAGAAATAAAAAAATTCAAGCTCATTCGTTAAAAAAGAAATCTTATTTTTTATTTGATAGATGAGTTAACAGATGTCCCTGTAAATGATGTTTTTGGGCAAAGGTTTTTTCACAGTTCATACATTTAAATGGGCGTTCACCAGTGTGAATCCTGACATGTTTTTTTAAATGTGTAGTGTAAAGAGTAGTATAATTACAATAAGCACAGAAATGAAGTTTTGCATTTTTGAATCTATTGGCTTGCATATCAGTATCTGCTTCAATATTATAAACATATTTCAATACACTGTTGTGACCTAGAACAAAAAAAAATAATTATTAATAAGCATTGCTGCAATGATAGGAAATTAAATGAAGATATAAATGCAGGTACGTATTCCATTTACAGAATACCTTCCCCTTATCAATGAACTATTCAATGAATCAATGATAAAAAATTACTCATTAAAATATAAAGGAAAGATACAAATTGTTTAGAATTTCAATTTCGTACTTGTATTTTTGATTTGCTTGAATAAATGAGGGGGGAAAATATCATTAGGCTTGAAAAATTGAATAATTTAAATGTACAAATGATTCTTATCATACTTAACTCAATCAGGCAATAAATGTCATATGAAACATCATACATAATTTTGCATTACTACCACACTTAGCACAGACTCTTTTATCAATGTAAGCATTTTTCACTTCATGTTACAATGATAAAAATCTGAAATTTTTTTGTACAAACAACCAAATCTTACATTTTTATTATGTAAATTAAAAATCACAATTAATTGTAAATTAAACATTATCTTTTACAATACCAAGATCGATAAAATTAAAATTAGACTAGCTTAAACAGACAATAACACCTAAAAGAAATTTTTTAATATATATATATNATATATATATATACTTCTTTACTTGTATAAGTATTAGCAATAAATGAAATTTCAAGTTCCTGAATTATTTTTTATAATTTTTATTCTCGTGAGTTTCTTTACATATTTTCATTATTACTAGAAATTTTCCATGTTATTAACATTTTTCAGTTCTTCATGCTGATAGTTCTTTAATTCTTTTTTTTTTTTTTTTTGGTTCTTTTTATTAAATGTCATTTTACAAATCAACTTTACATCAGACTTGACCATTTATAATTCCAAAATAAATATTGTAATAATAAAATATCAAGAGATAGAGATATGTCAAAATATAAATTAGACAAAATATTTTAAAAGTTAAAAAAAAAATCAACAATTTAGTCAAAAATTATTAACATAACAATTAGAAGATAAAACGAATAACAATCCCAAAATATTTTAGGTAGTCTCTACCTCTACCAAACATCATAAATATCTAACATTTACATAGAAGCAATTTGATATTTAACAATAAGAGAAACAATAATAAAAAGCAGTTTTCAAATAAAACGCTTCCAATTAATAATGCATATTTTTTGTATTGAATTGAATATTAAAAAGTAATGGCAGTTATCTTTTTCATTTGAGATTATTTGTTAATATAAATTACATAGTTTTTAGAATTTGTATTGTTGTTTAATAACAGTTATTTAAAATATTTTTTGTAATATAAAAGAATCACATTAAGAAAGACTCAAAAAGAAATTTTTCCTTAAAATAAAACCAACGTGTTTAATATAGGGGTGCACATTTTTTGAAGGGCTACAGGATAAAATAATTTAACTTTGGAGGAACATAACTCAGTCTTAATGATAATAACAATAACTTAATAATTCCTTCAATATAAATTTATCTTAAATACTAAAAGACAAAACATAGCGAACTATAAATAAAATATTTTTGAAAAAAAATTTTAGATTATGCACAGAATGCCTTCTCTACATATTCCAAGAGTTCATCTTAAATTATAGCAAGTTTTTAACTTTTCCTAATGGAGTTTTTATTTTTTTATTCCACAGAACTTTTTCCTACATATTAACTACTGAAATTTTAATTTTTAAAATAAAAATACCCAAAGTATTAAACATGTTTCGGTTAAAAAAATATTCAAATTAAATTTTGTGACACTAAAACTAGTACCTCAACATTTTAGAATTTTAATGTAATAATTTCTTTTAAAATCATATAAGTTAATTTGATGTACAACTACGTTTTGTTTTTTTTCCAATATGGAAAGCAGTCTCCCGACAACAGGTTTTATTATCTCTAATCAGTCTATTACCTGTTAGGTATTTGTAATTCAGTGTTTTCACTACAGTGCGAGAACGCGAGAATCTCACATATTTTTTTTCTTTTCTCGCATTAAAAAATTATTACCGCGAGAAATTCGCGCATTCTATAAATCAATTTCAAAATTTGCCAATTTCTTGCATTTTGGAAAAAGCTTCGAATTACGCCATTTAGAATAAAATCCGTTTCACTTTTCTTCCTGGATCTTTCATTATTTTCAACATCTGCCCCATTATCTAGCCTCCCTATTTACCAGTATTGTTCAGAAACTTTTCGAACAGAACACAGCCACGGAACCCCTTTCAGAACACATTTCTCTGTTTACCATAGGTAAGGTTTCTTCATGTAAGACGTTCAAACTTTTTATGCACTTATGTAAGATGGACAAATACCTTGTGAAGGCAAAATCTTCTATGATGATGCACCAAAAATATTCAATGCCTTAAAAAATAGAAGACGTTAAAAATGTATTATAATTAAAGAAATGATTTTTTTTCAAGAGTTTTTGTGTTTTTTTAGTTTTTAGAAATCTCACTTAACTTTTTGAAATCTCACCCTGTTTTTGAGAAAGGGTGAGAAATTCTCACCCATTTTTTTTCTGTGATGAAAACACTGTAATTTATTATTAAATCAAATAATAATAAAATATTATTTGATTACTTACAAATTACAACTGTGAATACAAATGAAATATTATTCACAAATTTAAAATGGCCCCCATTATCTCTAATCAGATTATTACCTGTTAGGTATCTGTAATTTATTATTAAATCAAATAATAATTGTAACAAATAATAAATTAATGAGAAAAACAATTATTTTAAAATTAATTATTCTTTGTTATAATTATAATTCAATCTAATAAAACTTTAATATTATTAGAATTAATTGAAATTATAACAATTAATAAACAGTTGATGATAAAAAGCAATAACAAATTGTAATAAATTCTATAACTCCTTCCACAAATTAATGAAAATCTTGAGTCTAAAAATTATCTGGAGGAAAATGCAAGGAATAAATTAATATTTACAACAAGTAAGAAGCATGGTACGTTTTAAAATGTCTCAAAATATTTTTTGGTGAACAACCATATGAGATTTCATATTCCATTTCAAACTAAACCTTCTTCCACATACAGGACAGGCAAATGGCTTTTCCCCAGTATGAACAGCCATATGCCGTTTTAAATGGGCTTTATTCCATGTTGAATAGTCACAAGTACTGCAGAAATGTAAAGCCAACCCTTGATTTCGCTGTGTTTTTAAGTCTTCATTAATACCTAAAAATAACAAACTAATTTGAATTTAAAATATTTTTTAATTATTTATTATTTTGAAGTTACCTGAAAATAAATGAAGTGTCAAAAAGGAATAGAAAAATCAGCTTCCCCAATTTAGAATGAATATCAGATAATTGTTTGTTGTTAATTTACGTCACACTAGAGCTGCACAATGAGCTATTGGCAACGGTCTGGGAAACATCCCGGAGGATGATCCGAAGACATGCCATCAGAATTTTTCATCCTCTGCGGAGGGGATGGCACCCCCCCCCCCCTTCGGTAGCCCAACGACCTGTGCACGAAGTCGAGCACTTTACAGTAGCACAGTTTAACGAGGACCAATACCGCACACCCTCGGTCCCTACTCAGACTGATCCAAGTGGTCACCCAGCCGCACAATGACCGTAGCCAGTGATGCTTGACTTCGGTGATCTGCTTAACAATCAGTCCACTGCGGGACGAATATCAGATAAAATTTAGATATTCAGACAAACATTAAAGCAGGAAAAAGTAATAAAATAAAAGATGCGTGTTTGTAAAACAGCACTTTGTCAGGTGATTCTTTTCCATTTTGATTTAATGTTTTAATTGTTAACTTACTTCTTTGTCTCTTTTGTTTTTGTAAATTGGATTCATTTTCTGATTATATATCAAATAAAATTGTATCTTCGATATAAACTTTTATTAAATAGTTTCAAAGAGCTAGAAACTTTTATATCATCTTTATTTCAGGTGATATGATACATTACTTACAGTCCAATTAAATTAAATATTATCTTTTTAACTGTCTAATTATCTAATATGAGAAATAAATAAACCATTATAAATTTTACCCTTTACAATAAGATAAGAGATTAGAGATATCCAAGCCACCAGGAAGGCTGTCATGTGAATATACAATACTACAATGCATAATTTTGATGCCTCATATTTAAGCAAATAATTTTGTTTTTACTTTTAATTACACCTAATTTTAAATGAGAGGATATGTTTCAAACCAGTATCTGTTCGCGCCAACTACAGTCGCCAAAGGGGTTACAGGTATTTTACTTTCAAAAATTAATATTTTGACGTTTGCTTGCAGGTTACACCTTTCCAGTTGGTCCCCTTCTGATATTTTTTTTATTAATTATTGTCACATTATTAATTTATTATTATCACACTTATTGGTGATTATTGTAGCGTAGGTACCGATGTGGAGATTTTCTTCATACGATATAACAGACACATAATTTGAGGAATTTTTTAAACAGTCAATATCTGCTTTGCTCATCCAGTTTATATTTCAACGTTGTATTTTTACTCATTCACGGCTAAACTTAATAGGTTTAGAGTCTAAAAATTAAATAAATGCTAATGTCACTAGTTAATAAAAACATTACAATCATCAACTCTGAATAAAATTTCAGAACGTAAGAACTATTTGTTTACGCTACATTTCACTTGTGCCGAAAAAAAACCTTCTACGATTACTTTCAAAACTAAAAATAACAAAACCAGGTTTTAACTATTCATAGGACAAACAACTTCATTTATGAAATCAAGAAAAAAGAGAACATTTAATTTATAATTCACAACAACAAATAATAATATTTATAAATTCAATATCAACACCAAAAATGACAAATCAAACAAACACGGCAAACAGTCACAGTTACAGCAGTTGGTGGTTTGTAGTATTTTGCTTTTAATCGTCGGTAGTCCAAACTACCTCAATCACACCAAAAATTCTCCTATCGCACTACGATTTGCTCATGTTCGAAATGTCATTTCATGTTTTTAATTGATTGATTTGTTCATTTACGTCGCACTAGAGCTGCACAATGGGCTATTGGCGACGGTCTGGGAAACATCCCTGAGGATGATCCGACGACATGCCATCACAATTTTGATCCTCCGCAGAGGGGATGGCACCCCCGCTTCGGTAGCCCGACGACCTGCACGTGAAGTCGAGCACTTTACGGTAGAACAGTTTAACGAGGACCAATACCGCACACCCTCGGTCCCTACGCAGACTGATCCAAGTGGTCACCCACCCGCACACTGACCGCAGGCAGTGATGTTTGACTTCGGTGATCTGCAGGGAACCGTGTCTTAACGATCAGTCCACTACGAGACTATCGTTACAAACAAACAAAGTCATTTCATGTATTTCTTAAAGTTCGTTGTTGTTGTTGTTAATTTACGCCGCACTAGAGCTGCACATTGGGCTATTGGCGACGGTCTGGGAAACATCCCGGAGGATGATCCGAAGACATGCCATCGCAATTTTGATCCTCCACTGAGGGGATGGCACCCCCGCTTCGGTAGCCCGACAACCTGCACGCGAAGTCGAGCACTTAACGGTAGAACAGTTTAACGAGGACCAATGCCGCACACCTCGATCCCTACGCAGACTGTTCCAAGTGGTCACCCACCCGCACACTGACCGTAGCCAGTGATGCTTGACCTCGGTGATCTCCTGGGAACCGTGTCTTCATATTTTAATTGTGACAATTTTAATCAAATTATAATCATTTTAAATCTAATTTAATTGGTTTATTAAATCTATTTAAATGGTTTCGACTTTCTCAAGGTCGCGGTCGTCAGGCTACCGAAGCGGGGGTGCCATCCCCTCCGCACAGGATCAAAATTGTGATGGCATGTCTTCGGATCATCCTCCGTGATGTTTCCCAGACCGTCGCCAATAGCCCATTGTGCAGCTCCAGTATAATCAACTTGTAAATTAACAACAACAAGGTTTATGTTATTAATTTTACGAAAGAAACCTGTTTATGTTTCACTGAGTTTTTATTTCCCAATCTTAAGAATATTAGCGTGAAAAAGTACTTATTAGTGCCGAGAAAGGCGGATAAAAATGATGGGATCATTAGTTTAAGAATACTTAACATTTAAAAAAAAAAAAAGAGTTTCAAATGTTTCCACGAATACATTTATACTTTTTAATTCTTAAAAGTGCAATGATATTTTAAGAAAACAAATTAATATTTTTATTCAAGAAAAGAAAATCATACCAACTACCGCGTTTATCCCAAGTATTGACAAAACAGAGTGCTAAGGAGAATTAATTTTAAAAAATACATTGAAGACAAATTGCTTCAATTCATTTTCAATGCATAAAAATATGTTTGTCTAATATTTATCTTATTTTAAGTGTTATAAAATGCTAGTTTTATGGTGTATAGCAACTTCAGACTCAGCTTGTAAGACAGTCCTTGTAACATATATACGTAGAAAAGCGTAGCGCTATAGCGTAGAAAAGATTTGAAAGTCACCCACCAATTTAATTAACACATATCTATCGGCGGAAAGTTAATTATGCTCTCTTTTATAATCAACAGAGAGCTCCACCCTCTGCTGATCGCCGTCTCTTGAAAGCGTTGAGATTGACGCAGCTCTTTTATCCTAAAATTAAATAAAATAATCCTATTTTAATTTTTACGTTTTACCTTGATATTTTTTATAGTTCATTTTAGTTATACTAAAGTCTAACTCCTCTGTTTTTTATTGCTCACCAATCTTTAGAGATTTAAAACTTCACGTCTCCAAATAAATTAGAAATTTAAAGAAAGTAAAGCGCAATGTTATAACGTTTCTTGCAACAAACGTTATAACTACAAAATAATAAGTTTTCGCTAAACTGAATGACGTATGTAAAAAAAGAAATCTTCAACTTTGACATAAAATTACTAAAAAAATTAACAGCAATAATAACATTTTTCCAGAAATATACAAAAGCAAAGATCATATTGTTTTATTTGACTTGAGTTATAACAGGGAGAATATGGGTGGTGGTAACTTTCTGAAACAGAGGAGACTATGGAAATTTTTTTTTAAATACAGAGATAAAAGTACTTCTAGAAGTTTACCATTCATATTGTTTACGCTGATTTTCAATGGTGGAAAATTTTTATGTATGCAAAAAGTAAGATAAGTTTCTTCAGTATATAATTAAATTGATAATTTCTTTTTTCAACTTCATATATAATGCTAACAGAACTGCATTTACCTATTCACCTTTGTAATATTTGAAAATTTTATTTTTATAAAAGGGAGTTTTTTTTTCCTGAAGGTGATCTAATCGATGCCTTTAAGTCTCAATTTCAGATTAAACTGGTTTGTTTGTATTGGGTAGGTAGGTGCTTTATTTACGTCGTACTAGAGCTGCACAATTGATTACTGGGAAACATTCCTGAGAATGATACGAAGACATGCCCTCACGATTTTGATCCTTCCATTTACGTCCTCAATTTCGACGTATATCTGAAAGGGAAGGAAATTTTTTCCAGATTCCTGTACCCATGGTACTGATCAGTGCGGAGGCCCCTACCCCCCCCCCCCAAGCTCTTGGGCAAATTGAACATAGAGAGTAAGAAACATCCAGGCCCTGAGCAGGATTGGAACCCGCGGTCAATGGCTCCGCAGTCAGGCACGCTAACCACTCGGCCACCTGGTCTTAACACATTACTTTCTAGTCACTCGTCAGGGTCGAATATTATAGGAATGCGCAAATATATTAACCTTAAATTAATCATTAAGAGAAGAACAGACTTAAACCCTTCTTCAGTAAATTAACAATATTTCTAAGCAATTGACATCTATATCTTCTGATATCTTACAACTTTTAAGCATAATTTCATAATTAAAAAATATAATTATTGGAATGATTAAATCAATCACACATTAACATTATCAAACCAAGCTTCATAACAAGTTCAATACACTCTTTTGGCTGGGTCTCTAGGTAATGAAATTTCAACTAGATAGCCTGTTAACCAGAACATCGCTAAAAAAAAAAAATGTTGTGCAATTGTACAACATTTTTTAATTTTTTTTTGAAAAACTTACTTTTGAGCTTGCTTAACGAAAACTGTCTCATATATACACAAAAGAATATAAATATTAAAATAATTTTTTCTTCTTCCTATGAATGTTTCACAAAGACGATCGAAACTTACTCTAATTCCACACTTTGTCTATCCAGAAAAAATTGAGAGAACTGCACAGTAGCATAATTTGAATTTAAATACTGTCCTTATTTTTTTTAAAAAATGTTTATAGCGTCATTACTTACACTTTTAAAACGGATCCTCTCAAATTGAATATTTATTTATTAAAGATAGAAAAAACTGCAAGCTAAGTATCTAGAAACCATTATTATTCTTTTCAAGTTATTTCACCATCTTTATTCTTCCTAATATAAAATTGTCACTTTACATGTTCTGTCGAGAGAACTGCAAACTAAGAACATAGAAATAATACTTATTCTTTTCATGTAATTCACCACCTTTATTCTTCATAGTATGAAATTGTTACTTAATATATTCTGTGGAGAGAACTGCAAGCTAAGAATCTAGAAACCATTCTTATTCTTTTCGGGTAATTTCAACACCTATATTCTTCATAATATGAAATTATCACTTCATTTATTTTGTTGAGAGTACTGAAAGCTAAGAATCTAGAAATAATTCGTATTCTTTGCATCCTTATACATCACCTTTAAATCTTATAATCTACATATTTTTACATATTTCAAAGATTGATAAAACTGCACTGCAGACTATGGATTTAGAAACCAATCATTTGTATATTTTTCTTATTAATTCATCACCTTTAAAGTACAATACTTTAAAATTGACAACTGGTCTAGAACAGTGATTTACCCATTAGTTCTCACTAAGTTTTCGAACTATTGCATTATTAGGGTTTTGATTTAAAATGTTACTTGAATGTTAGTTTTATTTGTTACTTTTATGTTAGGCTTGAGTAAAGTATTCTTAAGCTTACTTTTTACTGATTTTTAACTCTAAGGTACACTAAATTTGTGTATTCTTCTAAAACACTAAGCACGTTAAAAAATTATATAAAACATTTGCCAGCATTTTAAGCATATTTATTACATCGAAAATTATTCCCACAACATTTTATAAATCAAAACTACAGCGTAACTTCTTGGAAAATAGATGAGATAAACATTTATGCACCACCGTAATATTTGATTCAAAAACTAAAAAGATTATGCAATCAGAAGATTAAAAATTATAGACTTTTTAATTGAGAGAAGAAAAAAAATCCTTAGGAAAGACACATTCATTGAACTATTTTTTTTTTAAATGGAAGTAATTTTGATTAATTTGGTCAAAAAATGTAGAAGTTCAAAAGAAATTTTATTAGGTAATAAGCAGTAGTTTCATAATATCACAATCATTTCACTTTTCACAAAACACAACTTTTTAATCAAATTGAAATGTTTCTTTATGACAAACCTAATAATTAATATTCTTGCTTTATTCATTCAGGCTAAATACTAGGTTACTAGTAAGTTCTAAAAAGGTATTTTGTAAAAACTCTTTAGTTTGAGTACAAAACCGACCAGTGATTTTAAAAATCCACAAAAATGAAGAAGGAAATTGAAATATACGATTTGTACCATTCTGCACAGAGAACAAATTTATTCTAGCTAATTTTCAAAATTAGTTTGAGTTTTTAACAGTTTTTTTTTTTTTTTTTTGCTAACTGAGTAAAATTATTAAAACAATGTTTTCGCCAGTATTCTTTTCCATTCTGACAAACCAAACAAAACATTTTCCTTAATATTTTTGTAGTCAATAGTCATCTCTTGTAATTAATTTTGAAGCTTAGTGAGAAAGGTTTCTTGTTTTCCTTACCAGAATGCAGCAAAATGTCATTTTTCTCTCCGTTTTTTCTTTTAAAGGATTTTTCAAATCGTCTAACATTTTTGGGACAAATGGTAAATAGGTACCAATTATGAAAGAAGACTGGTTTTTCAATAATTATGTGCAAGCACACTTCATATAAAGTTGCCTTTTGATGTATTCAAAACAACATTTTAGAAGAGCTAAAACTTGAATGAATATATTTATGTATGGAAGCTTTGTAGATGAAGGCGTAGTTTCCTTCTAGTTTGAAACTTTTTTAAGCATTTCAAACAAGAAAATGAAGGGTTTTCTTGGTGTAAATATAAGTGGTCTTTCAAGTGATGCTTACGAGGGAAACTTTTATTACAAAAGCTGCAAATGTAAGGTCTTCCTCCAATGTGCTGTACCAAGTGAATTTTCACATTCCCTTTTCGGTCGGATTTGTAATCACAAACTGGGCACCAATATGCTTCATTGTGGTATATTATAGATAATCCTTTTACTGAACCTAGAAATAAATAATTAAAGGTCAATTAAATAATATACACAACTTTTTTCCAATATTCATGATTATTAATTTGCATAAATAAATAAAATAAGTAAAATCACAATTGAAATAATTAAATGAAAGAAAAATAAATAATGAAATGAAAAAAAATTTCAATGAAAATTTCTATTTTTTATGTATTTTTCGATATACGGTAGTCTGTAAGGACAGTTAATATATATTTTTAGATTCCTTGTCAGAAAGGAATTTAAAAAATCAGAAATTCATCTTTCAGCCAGGAAGAACAAAACTATTACTGAAACCTATTGAATCACTACAGAGGAAACCAGGGAAAAAGACATAAAAATGTCTTTGATTGCTGGAGGAAACTGAAAGATAAATTTTATATTACTGAACGGCTATATTATTGAATAAGTATACTACATTATTGAATATACTATTATCGAAATATTATATTATTGAATATGTAGAAGCAATTTTTAAAAAACACTCCAACTTTCAGCAAGTAGTCACATAGGTTTGATTTTTTTCTGTGTATCTCATTAATGATTCAAAAGACATTAATAATATTTTTGCTTTTCTCTCTCTTTTTTTTGTAACCTTTAATGTGTGTATTTTGTATATTACATTTTTGACAAGGATTGCATTTGTCGTCATCACAAATACCTTTTATAATACACCAAAGATAACTTTTTAAAAATTGTTAATGAAGTTCAATCACTAATATGAAAATTTATAAAATAATGATATAAAGATATTCACGAAGGCATGGATTGAAATAATAGAATGTTTACATTTGTTTTATATTTTAATTTGTTAAAAAGAAAGAATGTCTACACCTAGAACGAAAGAACTTGTAAAAAACAAAATTAACATGCACAAATGCTCAGAAAAAAACTAAATCACTTTTGATCAATCTTATTGGTATGAAGTGTAGGCCTTAAATATGATAATTTTAATAAATACAGACAATATTTTAAGATAAAAAACCATATTAAAAAATAATTTATCTGAATAAGACATACCTAGCTTTCTATCCCTCAAAAAATAAGGGTTAATCACATTCTAGTTTGCCAGAAGATTGGTCGAAAGTGTGATTTCTGTAATCTTAATTTTCAAAGTGATTTAAATTAATAATGATCAAATTCAACATTTCAATTAAATCATAAAAATAAAACTTCAAAAAAGTAGGATTTTCCAATTTTCTTTTCTAGAGTTAATTTAATTTAATTACTAACAATTTTAACTATTCAACTTATACAGTGCTTCTCTTGCTACTTATAATTATGCAGTTTGAAGTAGATGCAAAAATTTGCATATGAAACATTTTCAAAAATTTTTAGTTATTGTTAAATTAAATAATGAATAACAGAAGAAGTAAATCATGGTCATTTAAAGAAAAATCAGACATAAAAATGTACATTAATCATATTTAATAACAAAATAATCAAGCGAAATACATAAATTGTTAAGTTCTACATAAAAACACAATTATATATATAAAAAACAGCACACCAATCAAACTTAATGAAAAAATAATCAAGTAATATACACATTTTGTGAAGTTAAGCATATTGCCATGATTGTTTACAAGTTATTCATATTGAAAAAAGCAGAAGTTCAATTGATAACCAATTGAATTGTATTATAGTTTTATGATTCATTATTCAGTAAAAGTATGAATAGACATTCTAATAAACTAAAACTATAGTGTCCTTCAAAAGTTATGATTTCTGCCTAATTTTAAAATAAATCAACATTGAAACAAGAAATTTTGAAAAAAATGGGCATTAAACAGTTTTTTTTTTGATTTTCACATATAAATTTACATAAATTAAAATACGAATATCATTAGCAACAACAACAAAAAAAGTCAATTCAGGAAAAAAGTCAAGTCTTAGAGAAAATAGTACAAATATGGGTTTTAATAAGGAATGTGTGTCTACCAGAGATGAGAGACAAGTTTATTGAAAAAAGGTTTTAGGCTCAGATTCATAAAAATATCTTTATAAAATTTTTTATTATTTTTAAACAAACGTTTGGTTCAGTTATCAAACATGATGACCAAAAAGAAAGAAAAAAAATTGTGAACTGTCTGAAACTTTATTATTTTGTTACAAAGACCATTTTTCAGTGCTTAGTGCAGTAAAGAATCCGTTATCCGGAAATCAGAAAACCCGAACGAAATTCGATAAATTTTCCCGCCATTTTTTTAAAAAAAAAAAAATATTTTTTTCCCCCTTTAGATTTTTCTTTCTTTTTTGAAAGATGTTCACCTTACCATCATTTTGGAAATAATCATTAGTGTATTACTTCATCGTTTTTTCTTCTTTTTAAAATTATTTCCAAAAAAAAATTTTTTTTTAGTTGGGTTTAACAATAAAAAAACGGCTTTTTGTAGAGATTCAGAAAACCGGAAAAATCAGTTATCCGGAAAAGCGATGGTCCTGATTGTTCCGGATAATTGGTTCCCTACTGTAATATTTTAATTTTACAAGATTGCTCTTGATTAAGCTTCTTTGAAGGTATTAATCATTATACTGAATTAAACTGTTTATGAAATGTCTTTTAGGTTACTCCATTTTTATTCTTTGGAATGAAAGGATTTTACTCTTGAAGATTAATCGTGTACTGGTTATTACTTTCGATGAATACTTTCTCTCTCCTTTAAACATCCTTTTTGTTTCGCTCTGCTTTATCTTCTCAATGTTAACCATATGTACTTTTGTTTTTACTTTATTGAAATTTTAGAATTAGAAAAAATTAATTTTATTTTTGGGTAATCAGGCGGAGGAAAAAGTTAAAATAAAACTGAAAGGGGATTAAAATTGTTTGTATCTCATCTAATAATAATTAAATAAAATATTTTAGAAGTAAATAATAAAAAATAAGAATTTTTTTAGGAAAACTATTAAAAGTTATTTTTCTAAAAACTTTTAATTTAAAGTCTTATATGTTTTTACTTCCTCTGGGACCAAACCAGCAAGGAAATTTTTAAAATAATTCATACTTCAATGTATGTTATTGGTAAAAATAAAGCAACATTAATAAAAAAAAATTTTTATTTACTTCAAAAGTCATTGAAAAAAAAGTAAAAATTTTTTTGCATTTATCATTTTATTTTATTTTGTCAATGGCACCTACAGAAATTTTCTCAGGAGGAGGGAAATACAACCGGAAAAAAGAAATTCCTTAGACTATTAAAAAAAATCATGTGTTAAATTTTTTTCTGTAATTTTTGAAATTTTAAAAATCAATTGTTATAATTTATTCATTGTCATTTAAGTAGCAATTTTAACATTTTCTATAGTTGATCTGTTGGTAATTTAATATATAAAAAATCGGACATTGAGGAAGCAAAAGTCTTAGAAGATCTCATTTAGGATGACTATACGAACTATCACGTCTTTAAAATAGGCACTGTTGCCTTTTTCAATATTGAAAAGTGTTCTGGGAACTTTTTGTCAACATTTTGGGAGATAAGTAGGAACCAATTAAATTTTAATGAAAAACAGAGAATATCCATACCTGAATTCACAAGAGAACACATTTTAGATCAATTTTTTTTTGTGTGCTTGAGTTAACGTAAATTTGAACAAGGCAATCAAAAGAACTATTTTGTGCAAATTTCCACAAAATGTTTTCTTTTTATGTTCATTCATTTTCAAATCAGACACAGGATACAAGCTGCACCTAAACATTTAAAGAACTGTTTATGATGAAAATAATAATTTTAGCTGTGATTTTTTCAGCCCTTACCAGAAAGGTGTCATTGCATTTACTCAATGGAATTACTAAATGTTTTTTACTTATTAATTTATTTTGCGAATTCGAGGGTGGCCACTCTCCAGATTAAACCAAATCAAAGTTCCAAATTAAAACCATAGGAAATATGAGTTTTTTGTTTAAAAATTCACTTAATTTTATAAGTATAAAGAAAGATAAATTACATATTATTTCAAATCATTCAACAATTTTTGTTATAATATGTTTGGTTCGATAAATTCCTTACTATCCTTTCTACAGCCTTAAAACTGATTAGACAATTTTATAAAACAAAATGTTAAGAAAATCATAATCATAGAACTTTTGACTATAACTATTTATTAACTAGAACTAAATTATTAATTAAAAGAGCTATTAGTTCAAAAAATAAATGATAGTACTCCTGGATAATTTTTTATAAGACATGATTGATAACAGTTTCATTGTTTGATTAAGTGATTTAAACACAATTGTGGTAAATTTTTGAGTGATAATTTGTTTTATGCCACTTGTATTTGTCAACTACTGGTTCTATATGAATTTCTAAAGTTGATTGCAAATTTCCCACAAAGTTCTAGATTTTCCATAGGTTATCTTTAGGTTCTATAGGTTGGTTATCTTTTATATGTAAATAGTGTTATATGTGAAAACATGTTGCAAAAAGTTTAAATATGATTCATATATATCAATCATAATACATTTCTTCACTCAAAAGATCGACAATATCAAAATAGATTGATTCTCGATATCCACATCATGTTATCTCTGTAAACTTTATAATTTTGATATAGTCAGCATTAGAGGATTTACACAAGTTGAAATTAGAGAAGTGGTTACTCATGGTAGTTTGTCAGACACATTTGTCGACTCCAATATTGTTATTGTTTTCATATACAGAGAATGCACTCTCGTGATGTGTTCCTTTACGTGGTGCTTGTGTACAAATCTTTTGCTGCAAAAATTGCAAGCATGAGCTCTTTCTCCAGTATGCGTCTTCACATGACGTTTCACACTGTCCTTCCGATTAGATGAATATCCACAAATTGGACAAATAAATTCATTGTTATGGCATATTACAGATAATCCTTTCATCAAATCTAAAAATAAAATAATTTATGGTTAAATATACTGTAAAAAAATTATTGTTAAAATTTATACCCCACAGAAATTAGGTAATGTTAAAAAAAATTTAAAATATACAGTAAGATAAGATTTTATTGCCATCAAACTACCTCCTTCAAATAATATTGTCTGTAACCTGGATATTATCTAATAAGGATAAGACAATTCAGACGTCACGCAAAATACTTTTCACAACATTTCTAAGGAACATTAAAAAATAACTTGTTAATTATCCACCTTCAATTCAGTTCAAGGTTAAAGCTGTTTGCTTTTCTGCATGAAAGTCCAGTTTTTTAACATGTTATTCAATAAGTTAATCTCTACTTGGTAGGGAAACTTCTGTGCAATTTGGCTCAATGTCTAGGTTAAAGAAAAGAAAAAGAGGTTAAAAAAAATTAACTTGGTACAAACATCTAAATGAAATATAACTAAAGAAAAAAGCAGATAAATAAAATTAAAATGTAGATACATAAAGTAACTTTGTGTGTACTTGAATAGAATTGTAACTCGAGCATTCAATTAATTATTTGCAAATTACATTATGGGATATTGTATTCAAATAAACTCTAGGTCCATGAAAAACAAACAAACTAATGATTAGAGTTAAATGAGGTCAAAAACATTAGTGTTAAACTAAGTAAAGCATGAACGTTATGTCAAATTTAAGAATTTTTAACTTATAAATAAGCTTTAAACATAAACTAATTAATTTATTAAAAAAGCAAAAACCTTGAAATTTGACATGAACAGAAGATCAGGGCTAAGTCATGCAATTTATAATTTAATTAAAAAAATGGAGTGATTCTAAATAAGCATATTAGTGGTTATTCTCAAGATATTTTATTTATTAATTAAACAATATTTTTTAGGCATCAAACTTTCAATAATGAAGAAATGAAAATTATATACAAATGTGACTATTTATTGAATGCTTGCACAGTTAATAAACAGAATAATTGGGCATTAGAATATATATATCTTTGAATATAAATAGGTTTAGTCAAAACCCATTATTAATAGAAGAAAAATATCACCTAAGGTAATGAAACATAATACGTTGGACTTTAATAAGTCTAACTTATTTTTAAAATACCATTTAATTGAAAAGATTTTTATCATTTACATTAACATAAATAACACAATAAACTGTGAATTACTGAAAATGAGGTTTAAAGTATAATCTTAAGAGACATCAATCATGTGATATTAATTACAGTTAAATGTTTTTTATTTTGCTTTACAACTTATTTTAATCCAGAGTGACTAACACTTTTGTGATAGAAATATTTCCCTATTAGGTTAAAAGTGGTAAAAAAATTCCTTAAACATTTCTTACTCCTCAAGTTGGAATTAACAGTTAGTAATTTTTTTTGTGAATAATTAGTGAAAGCTATTACAAAATTTTTTTAAGACCAAAGTTTCAAACTTTACTTATTAATTTTTTTAAGGAAAGACAAAATCTCCTAGATCATTAAATATTTAGAATTTATCTCATAAGATTGTAAGTAGAGTAGCAAATAATCTAAATAATTTTTAAAACTTAGAAAATCTTATTAAGTTAAAAAATAAGTTTTTTTGCTAAAATCAAGGTTCCCGCGAACCTCGAAAATTTTAAAAAGCGGTAACGAAAATAAAAAAAATCCAATATTTTAATTTCTGTGTAACCCCCACTATGAATTGTTTTCCAAAGAAATATAAATGCATGAAAATTCCAGCTTCTAAACCACTTAACGATAAAGTGGTATCGTAAAATATCAAATATCTTCTTGCATTAACTTAAATTTATACCACTACTAAAATTTTTCAAAGACCGTGAGAACCCTGTATAATAGATTAATTCAAATATTTGCACATAATAGATAAAACGTTTTCACTTAAAGTACATAATAGACCATCTAAGTAAGGTAGAAAAATAAACTATTCTGGTTTAATATTCTTCTACTTTTGCCTAATGAATTTGCAGTGAAAATTTTTTATTACTTGAATTAAAGATTTTTTCTTTCCCTTTTAAAAATCAGAATATAGACTATTTTTTACAAACGTTGACAACATGGATTATAAAATTATCTATTAATTCAAATTTTTGCTAACTACACAACAAATACGTAAAACAGTAAAGGTAAAAAAATTGCTTAGTATTTTTGAATTATAAAAAAAAAAGAACTATTTAGCAAGAAGCTTTTAATGTACTTTTAATTTATCAATACTTGACTGACAGCATTTTTTTCTTCTTTTAAATTAGGGTTATTTTGCATTGTTTAATTAAAGTTTTTTAGCATACAGTGCATTTTTTACTTTTGCAAAATCAAACAAAAATAAAAGTTGTAGTTGTTTATTAAAAAAAAAGTTTCTAGTGATAAGGTGTGTAATATCAGTCTGTTACCATAAGCTTAAAATTGCTTACATTATAACCTCAAAATTACTTCATACAGTAAAACCTCATTACAACAATATTTTGGGGATCAAATAAATATATTGTTGTAGAAGAATGTGTTGTTATATCGAGGGCCTGCATGCTTTAGGAAGACATTAATTTTTTTTAAAATTTTAATGCTATCTATAAACTATAAATCTATTTATATATTAGATAAAAATTTAATTTGCAGACTGATAATTATGGTTAAATATGAAATCAGATAGGAATGTTACATCTGCAACTTCTTAAGAGATAAGGGAGGCAATTCTAAGAATGGAAGCTCGTGGGGTGGCTTATGTACATCAATTATGGGGTATTGAAATCTAAATACAAAAGCCATTCACTGTGGTGAAACGAAATAAGATAAATACACTGTAATCAGCAGTGAGTCTTCTCTTGTCAGAAAAAAAAATGCCAAAAGATGATAGAATAAGATTTTTTACATTATTTGAAAACCAATAATAAATGGAGAAAAGAAAAGTGAAATTGAAAGAAAATTTTTTTTATAGAGGGTTTATTGCTTCAAAGAATATCGCAATATTGAGAGGAGGTTAACATTAATTCATATGCAAGTTCATCTGGACCACAAAACATTATTGTAATAGAGGGAGTTATTGTTGTATTAGATATCGTAGTAGCGAGAGTTTACTGTATTAGCATAAAGCTCATCAATTCAGTATGAAGTTTTTGTTGAAAGAAAATAGCTAAAATGAATTAATTGAGATTCATAATTCATAAACAACTAAATGATGAATATGCAAGCAATTCCTCTCACTGTAAAGCTTTTTAAACAAATAAATGGTATTTATAAAATTTGAATGTTAAAATGTCAATTCAAGATATTCTTTATTGTAAAATCTTTGTTACATTAATCACAGGTAAAAAGTGACGATCTTTTTTTCAGTAACAGCTTCTTTAAAAATAAAATAAAAGATATTCATCCCGTAGTGGCTGCCATTTAAATGATCGCAATTCCAATAAACCTAAAAAGGATCCGATAAAACAATAACAAAATATAATTAAGGTTCAGTGTATCATAGTAATATTTAAATTAACTTTTATGAAAAGCTAAATAATGAGTATTCAAGTAATCTTTTCGTCGGAAAGCTTTTTGACATATTGCACAAACAAACGGTTTGCATCCTGTATGGATACTTAAATGTGAATTCAAGCTACTCTTCACTGTAAAACCTTTGCCGCATAAGTCACAAGTAAAAAGTAGTTTCCTTTTAACAGTAGCAACATCTTCAATTACAGAACTAGACAATTTGGAAGGATATTCTTCTTGGGGTGGCTGCCAGTTAAAAAATTGCAATTCTGATAAACCTATAAAGATTGGATAGTATTTTACATAGTTAAGAGATATAAATAAATACATGTACTGCATAAAAATTGGATTGGTTGTTCGAGGTAGGGTAATATATAGAACAGTAAGACATTGATTATCTAAAGTAATTGGTGCTACATAACATGAAAATCGAAATATTATGACCATAGAAATCGCATCATTTTTTAATTTCTTATCAACTAAACAGGGGTGATTGTGGGTCCAACTCAAAAATCCTGAAAATTTCTTGAGTAAAATCATTCAAAAAATTAATATCTTTATAAATTTAAATCATAGAAATTTTCAAAACATGATATTCTAAATGAATTACATGCAGCACATTTATTATTCTATCAGAAAAAATATTTACAAATGAAAGCGATGCCAAGTATAAATTCTAGTTCTAATATTTTTAAATAAAATATACAAGAATTTTTGTATATAAATGCGATCGATGATTTCATGAAACTTCTGGACTTTGGATTTCCGGAAACTTTCGGATCGCGGTTAGTGAAAAATCCGGATTTTTTCCAGAGCACAATCACCCCTGACTAACTTCAAATTTTTTTTTTCATTTTTATTATAATAGTGTTTTTTTTAGAGCAATACAGCTTGCTATAGACCAAGGCTGCCTCGCTCAGTTTTTTCCATCGGTATATATCAGACAAAATGTTTCTCGTTTCTCTAGCATTTAAAATCTAATGATATTAAAAATATTTTCAATATCATTTTTCTATTTAGTATGAGGTCTTCCTCCTTTCGTCTTATTTTTTTTGGAATGTATTTTTCTTTACTGGGTTAGGATCATTATCTCTGTAAAATGTGAAAGCTATCTTAATTATTATTTTCTGATTTTCTAATTATTCTGTTAGTGCTATTTGTATAGATATTCTAAAATTAATTTGCATCATTTTTAAAGTGGATTAAACAAAATTCGAAAAAAAAAAATAAATAAAAAACACAAGTTAACAGAAGTATTTCGATAAAAAAAAGTCATGGATAATTGAAGTTGTACTCTTTTAAAAGATATTCCTTTACAACAAAATCATAAATAATAATGAAAATATATAGGCTATAAAAAAGTAGCAAAGTAGGTTGGCACAAAATATTTACTTGAAAAGTTAAAATATCAAAGATATAGTGCATATAACTGATATAGAAAAATAAAATATCAAAGATATAGTAACAGCACATCAATATAGAAGTGTGAAATATGAATCTAGATGTTAAACAAGGAACTTACTGTCAATGGTGACAAAATCTTTAATCTAATTTTGATTTTTTTCTCGAATTTCTGTTAAATTAGCATGAGTGGAATATAATTTAGTAAACAAAAGGAAAAAAAAAGATTAGGCTTTTAAAAAATTATTATCAATGTTACAGATTTAGTTTGAATATAGAATGTCACTTTAAACAGTAACATACTAAAGAAATATGCACACATTTTAAAGCAAGTTATATTATATTATTGGATATTTTTACAGTTTTTAAAGCATTTTTAACTCAGTTAAGTAAGATATACAATAAATTGTTCATAATAATAATAAATAAATATGTAAAAAATTGTTCATTGAAAAGTTACATATTTAAATGATAATCAGAGAGTGAATTATATATCTTACTAACGTAAATTCTAGATATTAAATATGCAAGAACATTTTGAAATTTAATACAATTAGCTTTTAAAACATTAATAAGAGAATATACAAGTAAAAGACTTTTTTTAAATAATTTTTCAAAATGAGATAAAAAAGAAACAATACCAGCAAAATTTTTATGCAAAAAAGCTTTGCAATTTACAAACTCACTTATAAATTTTAGTAAGAGAATGATTTAAATTTGATTTGTATACAAACTATCTTTTGAACAATTCAATATATATTATCTTTCGAAATATGAGTAAAAGAATGTACTTGCAGAATATATTTTGTACGGAACGTTTTGTTACATATTTCACATTTAAATGGCTTGATGCCAGTATGAATGCTAGAATGAGCTTTCAGATTTTCTTTTCGAGTAAAATCTTTCCCGCATACATGACACGTAAAACATGGCCTTTCATTAGGTAAGACAGACTTTTGTAACTTTCCTTTAGTATTAATTTGGACTGAATAATTTTGTTGGGTAAGATGTAACTTGAATGAAGATAACTCTTCATAGAAACCTATAAAAGAAAACAAATCAGTCTCTACATATGCAAATCAGACTCTACATACATAAATCAGTGTCTACATAAGTAGAAAATAACATGCAATTAATGTAAAACTAAAATATTTAAAAAATAAGTCAATGTTTAATCGGCTGAGCACTTGGGATATTAATTTATATAATGTATTAATATACTGGATATTAATTTTACAGTTTTCTAAAGCAAATCAAAAATGATAAATTAGTTGTATTTTATTCCTAATATTCCTGAAGATTTAATTTCTTCTTTGAATAATATACACTTAAGTGCATATTTTTGTCTTTTAAATTACTTTTATTAAAAAATTTCATAAAGCATTAGCGCAGCGTTCTGTAGGTAAGTATAATAAAATGTGAAATAATTTATGAAACGCAAAGCTTTAAATTTAAAGGTTTGCATAATACAGATCTTCCACTGTATTTATTGTAAACATAGCAAGGTGCATGAAAAATTTTATTTACCACCAAACAAAATAAAACAAGTAAACTAAATGTAAATTATTTTTACATTGAAATAGTTTAAATATTAACATAAGTGTGAAAATCTTATTTGTTATAACTCTTAACAATTTTAACTCGATGACATATTTTGTTTTATAACAGCGGTTGAACAGCTGATCCAATTTTTTTTGGTTTACGACTACTAATGTTCAACTCCATAGCTTTGTAATTTTTAACCCAATCCAGAAGACAAGGGAACTCCTGGATCAAGATTAGGGAGAAATTTGCCTTCATGGAGGACTTTTTTTAATGAAACTAACCCGCATGGAAAGAAAAACCACGAAAACCTCCTATGATTAGCTTGGCGGCAAGGGGACTCTAACCCATGATCCGTCTACCACTGAGGATATTTTACGTCTGCACTGTGGTCGGTGCAAGCCAGATGCAGAATTCGTATAGATCAGCCAGCAATGGGATACGAACCGGTTAATCTCATAGGAAGGAGAACGCTCTATCCCCTGAGCCATCATGGCTAACTTAATGATGTAGAATTTTTGACGGTGAAAATTTAATGTTACGCCTAATAAAAAAATAAAAGTTTAGTTTTATAGAAAAAATATAATCTGACAGATAGCTTTTGTTTTGTTCAAGAAAGGCAATGAATAAAATGCTTTAATAATTACCTTATATAAACCAGGACAGAAATGACTTAATAATATTGTTTATTTATAAAAAGGAATCTTTTGCTATATTAACACACAAATATAAAAAACTTTTTAAATATTTAAAATGTTCTTTCATATTTAAAAATGAAAAAATACATTGAAAGTAATTTTTATTTTAAGCTAGAGTTCCTAAAACTAAAGTGTGTTATCCGAAGTTACTTCTAAATTTTCCAGAATATGACTGTAAAAAGAGAATAATAGTGAAATTAGTTGCCCCCCTTGGCAAAAATTACCTGAAATTGAGCTTTCTTTTTTGCATTAAAATCATGTTAGCTATATTGTATTGAGATAGGTTCAGCTAAAGGACTAATGACTAAGTTGCATAACTTAATAATTAATTAATTAAGCTGTTTAAATATAACTTCATTTTTAGCATATTTGCAAAATATTATGTTAGGAATTATTTCTCTCCAAGAAAACCAACAGTTTATCTGAAAATTGACTATCTTTTTTTTTGCTAAAATAGATAGAACTCGATAAGCGAAAAATATGGCTGTCATACTTATAAAAAAGGAATTATTTTGTAAAGCATATGGACATATAATACTAGTTAAGATAAGTTTCAAAAGAAAGGAAAACTACATATTTATAATTTCCAGATTTTACTGAGATATTACAATATTTTGTGGATGCACTCCACAATAACTTTGCTACTAAATTGTAGTTCACAGCCAATCACAGATTGTTATCTGTATGTTGCAAATTGCAACATACAAGTACTCTTTAATATACATATATAAATACTCATCCTAAACTACATTAGATACGTGAACTCTAATCAAAATAAATGTTAAGAGAGTAAATTCAGGAGCATATAATTAAAAGTAACATTTTATTGATACTATGTAATGAAAAGTTTAATATCCTTAGCATCTTGAAAAAAAAAAAACATAGAATAAATCTTTGATGGTTTTATTTTTAATAGATATAGAGGGTTAGTACATTTGCATCTTTAAGTTCATACCTATTTCGTTAGTAAGTTTTTTTCATGTGTTTTAATATACACCATAATACTAAGCATAGTAGTAAAAGAACATGTTAAAACCCTAATACATTTAAGCTTGTTGTACCATAAAAGGGCTGTACAAAAATTTCTAATGCATTCTGTATAGTTTCAGTTGCACAATTTTGAGTTTCTTTTAGCTTTCATTTTGTAAAAATTAATTAAAGTTTTGTTATGTATGGGACATTACAAGACAAGTACTGTGGAATGATACAAAAACAACAAATTCTATAAAAAAACAATTATTAAGAATATTAAAAATAAAGAGAGCACAAATATAGAGCATGTAATACAAAATGATCTTTTTCTAAAAGCAATATCAGGTAAAAAAAATTGACTTTATTTGAGTTAGCAATATAAAAGAAAAGTGAACACAAGGGACAGCAGAAGGCTTTTTCAGGGTTATAAAGGAGAGCAGTGCATCGTAGACTGCATATAACTGATTCACCAGTCTACAGGAGAACATTTAAAGTTAAAGTAAAGATGTGCTGCTACGAAAGAAGTATCCAAAATTGAACAATACAAAGTAGTTCTAATTTTAGTGGCAGAATGTAAACCTCCAAAATTCACCCAGATAGGGGAGCTGCACAGTTATCAAGAACAAAACTTTTGACAGCCCCAAATAATTATACATAGAAGCAATGGGACATATTTACTTCGCTTTGGACCTTTGCAGATCTGATATTGACCCACATACCTCAGAAATCTTTTTACACCATTTGTTCACAACTGTTCGTCTTACACAATGTTTGCAATAAATTGTGAACATTCCATGATAAATGTATGCACTATGCTTACCTTCAGCCTATAAACATCGTTTGAGGTTTATCTTAAGCGTTTTTAAAAGGGTGGTTTGCTCTGTCTTTAAATTTTACATTAAATTTTACCATTGTCCCTAAATTTTACCGTTAAATAAATAAATTTTATTTAAAAATGAACTTAAAGTTTTTATTTTCTCTTAATTTTCAGTTTGAAATATCAAAAAAGCCATCAAGTTATATATCAATATAGAATCTTTTTATTAAAATAAAAATTTATGCACAGAGATTGTCTTTTAGTTTGCGTTTAATTATTTTTCAAAAGCTTCAAATTTTCCTGTTATTTTAATAATGAGTGAGAATTACGTCGTGAAATATACACATAAAATAATATGAGGATAATTTAAAAATTGAGGATCAAATTCAGTTATAACATAATATTACACATTTTGATAAATTTTGATGATGGTGGTAAGTGAGTGCCCTTCTAAAACTTAAAGTGTCCTTTTCTGAGAGGTAGCACCCTGCCGTAATTCTGCTCTGGACGAATCTATCTCAACACAACTTTATACCAATTTTAAATGCTTGAATGCAAACTGTTTCATCAGTTATATGCAACCTTTTACAAATTCCTAAAATTTACTATGAATGGTATCGCTATTGTATATCTGACACTCTCAATTGCATACTTTTTATTTAGATGACCCAAACATTTTAAATTAGATTTCAAAGAGTTCACAAAGAATCTAAATTTATATCTACAGAAAACACATAAAATATGATGAAAGAATTATAAAAGTATTTCATCCTTTTTCAAACACACCAATAATAATTTCGAGAATTCATATTTTTTTTTCAAAATGCAGATGCTGATGATAATCCAGGCTTTGCTTGTGACGGAATCCCTTAAAACAAATTGGACACGAATGAGGCAAAACTTCTGAATGAGTCAGCATATGAGTTTTTAAGACATGTTTATATGCAAATCGTTTTCCACACATTTTACAAGAGAAAGGTTTGTGGCTTTTTAAATGCACGGTAACATCTTTTCTACGTTTTGAAGAAAAACCACATATTGAGCAACGGTACATTTCTGAAGTACAAATAATTAGATCCTCTGAATCTTGAATGTTAATATGAGCTAAAAATAGAATATTATTAATTTATAGTAACATTAATAGCATAATTTTAAATTATTAACTCAAAATAAGAAATTATAAATGAGGATATTAAAGTAAAAACTTTCTAGTTCATGAAAAAGAGAACCTAAAGCAATATAACATTGATGAAAGGATAATGGTAAAAGTTAAAGGTAGATTAGGGGGGAAAAAACCTGCAGCCCCAGAGCAAAATCTGGCCCTTTATAAGGGTTAATATGCGACAACTAGCTTCCTATCGAAAAGGAATAGGAAAAAGATTATAACATTTTTCATCTGTTTATCAAATTAATTTCAATATACTTTGATAAAACACTGAAATTTAAAAATAAAGAAGTTCTAATTTAAGAATAACATAATTTAAAATCTTTTGAAATTTCAATTTCTTTAATGAAAATTTATTTTAACAAAAACATGAACAGAACAAATGTAGTCCAAGGATTTATTTAACCATTAGTGAGGTTAATAGTCCATAAACAATATATAAATTTGTACATTAAACAATAAAACTAATTTTACCAATAAGAAAATTGAAAACCCGTTTCAAATTAATTTTTTAAAACAAAACAAAGCATGCAAAATATCTAATGCTTCTTAAACTAAAAAATATTAATCATACATGTACTCTGTCTTTTAACTTTTGGAAAAGCATACATTGCAATTAGTTCATTGAGGAATAATGTTGACTTATTGCAAATAATGGATATAAATATTCACCGATGAGAATATATTACTAAAAGTTAACCCAAATGATAATTGAAGATATTTTTCATTTATTTACAGAGCTATAGTTAAGCATATTAAACAGAAAGAGATTATAAATAAACACAAAGCATGTAATACAAAATTATCTTAATGTAAGAGCACTATCTATAAAAAATTACTGACTTACATACTTAAGTTTGAGTTAGCAATAACGTGGCCCAAATGAAAAGTAACATCGTCTTCATACACGGTTTTTAAAGCCAAGGCTATAGAGCCTCAAATTGCTTCAGAAACAGAAGCAACAATGGGTTCAATGGAGAACATGTTTACTTGTACAGATTCTTCCGCAGATCTGCTGTTCATGTACACCCTTTACAAATTTCACACCATTTTTCCACAGCTCTTTGTCCTAAACAGAGTTCACCATAAACAGTGACCATTCAATTGTACAATCATTTTCTGAATATATCTTAGTAAAACTTTGCATTCACTTTAAGTGATCTAAAGCAAACTAGCTTATCGGTTATATGCAACCTGCAAACCACTCTTAATTTATAGTAGTGAATGGCATCGCTACTGTATGTCTGACGCTATCACCTGTCTCTTATACATTTGGACAAACCAAACATTTCAAAGAGAATCTTAATTAATATTAACATTAAACACACAAAAAATAATTAAAGAATTGTAAACGTTTTACATCCTTCCTTTTAAGTATATCATTTTAAAATTTGCCAAATTCATATTTTTTTCATAAAATGCAGATGCTGATGATAATCTAGGCTTTGCTTGTAACGAAATCTCTTAGAACAAATAGGACACGAATGAGGCAAAACTTCTGAATGAGTCAGCATATGAGTTTTTAGGACATGTTTATATGCAAATCCCTTTCCACATAATTTACAAGAGAAAGGCTTGTGGCTTTTTAAATGAAGGGAAACATCTCCTCTACGTTTTGAAGAAAAATCACACATGGAGCAATAGAACATTTCTGAAGCACAGATAATAAGATTGTCCGAATCTTGAATGTTACTATGAGCTAAAAGTAGAATATTATAAATTTATTGTAAAATTATTAATATAATATTATATTAACTGAGAAATTATTTATGAGCATAAAAAGGTCAAACATTTTTCAGTTCATGTGGGGGAGATATACATAAAGCAATATAACATTGCTAAATCACAGAAAATGAAAGCATTTGAATCTTGGATAATTCTTATAGTTAAAGAATGATAAAAGAAAATGATATATTATGTGAAAAAAAATTCTAAATAACTTTTGATCCAATGATCCGATTTTCATGTACTAGGACCCAATCTTAATGAGTCAAGATGACCTCAAATATGCTAATTAATTTGTGCAGATGACATTTTTTGTTACAAAATCAGACACAAAAATGTACTTTCGCTGAATAAATATATATATTTTTTCGATGGACTTGGGTTCCTTACCATTAAATTATAAAGGGTAGTTGTAATCTGGGAAATATGATCAAAATAGTTTGGTCAGGAGAGTGGTCCAAAACTTGACAACTTTGGTCTTGAACACTGAAATTCGGTGCAAAGTTCCACCGAAATTCAAATTTTACATTCACAATTTCATAAAAGATGTCTACAACGTAATTAAATTTGAAAGTATTCACATTATAACTTAAATATAATTGCTGAATAAATATATATATTTTTTCGATGGACTTGGGTTCCTTACCATTACATTATAGAGGGTAGCTGCAATCTGGGAAATATGATCAAAATAGTTTGGTCAGGAGAGTGGTCCAAAACTTTGGATCCATAATGTTCATTTTATTTATTTGTTATCGTCATATCTCCTGAACTTCATAAGCGAAGCAAAATTCTTTTGCACACAATTATAAAATTCCCTTATCCAAAGTTAATTCCATATAAAAAATAATTTTTAACAATTTTTTAATGATGTATTTAATAATAGTTGGAAATATTTTGAATTGTGAGGTATATAAATTTTTACATAACTTTAAAGAAACTAGTTATAAATGGCAAAGTACAAAATTTCAAGCTAAATGGGTCAAATAGTTCTTGCGAAATCGAATTTTAAAATTATAAAATTTTAGAATTTGTTTACTCTGAAACTATTCATTTGATTACACACAAATTTTTTATTTTGTCAATTAAAAATAATATCTTTAAAATTATCTTAAAATTTCCATGTTAAAATTTAAATTTTTTTTGCCTATAATTAAATAAAAAATTCATTAATAATTATAAATTATTTTTTGTATGGAATTATCTTTGGATAACTGAATATAACTGAGTGCAAAAGTTTTCCAAGTAGCTTAAAAAGTTGACGAAAGAAATGGCCAAATAAGCAAAAAGTAAAATTAACATAAAGAGGTTCAAACTTTCCTGAACAAACTATTTAAACTATATTTCCCAGTTTGAAGCTACTCCTATATTTCAAGGGTAAGGAATAAAAATTCATTAAAGAAAAGGTACGTTTATTTGAAAAAGCATGTTTTTGTGCATGATTTTCTAACATAATATATCGTTTGTACAAATTAATTAGCCTATCTGAGGACAACTGCTTAAACCATTGAGTCCCAGTACATGAAAATTCTATCATTAGATCAAAAGTTATTCAGGGTGATTTTTTTGTTCACTGTACAATCTGCAGCTCCAAGGTAAAATGTGGCACGTTGAGCAGTAATGTATGGCCCATGTCAATAAAAAATTAGTTGGGAAACTTATTTAACTAGCAAAAGAAACATTTTTAATTGTTTATAATGTAAATTTCAATAAGCTACAAAGAAATTTAGAAATTGGACTTTAAATAATGTAGAGATACTAATTCAAGCTGTTATAAAATTTAAAACTCTTTGAGTTATCACACTTATTTTATAGAAAATTTTCAGTAACAAAACACGTTATCAAAAGAAATGTGTTGAAAGATTTATTTAAACATCCAAGATGTTAATAATTTACAACAATTAAATTAATATAAAAATTAATTCAATTTTTTTATAAATCTATTAATAATGAAAAAAGATAAATACTTAAAAAAGACTATGCTCCTTCAAGCTTGAGGATAAATTTATTGAAACTTAATAACACTGTTTAACATTCATTAATTTAAAATGAGTAATATATATTAATATAATAAACTCAGAATCTTTGAGTATGTCACACTAATAGAAAAATTTTAATGGAAGTTAAAAAAAGCAATTGCAAAGTAATATATTTTGAAAAATATGCAGAAAAAATTTAGAAAACTGATTGCAGACATTAATATTTTATTCTTAATAAAACAATATAATCCAGCTTAGTCAACATTACAGTTGATGGATATAGATTTAAATGCTGCAGAAAAAGAGAAAATGGCAATTTTGTAAAGCAAAGCATTTTCACAAAAGCCCATTGAGGGTCAAGGGAATCATGAAGGTTAAGGATCCACAATTTTGAGACCAATGACATAATTGTGAAAATATGGTCAGCACTGCGCACAAGCCGCCTTTACTTCCCAAACTAGAGAGTACCCATCGAACAGAAGCTGGGTGGGCTTCAAGCTGCCACAAAGGATCGAACCCTAATTGTTCACAATGATAGCTCAGTGAAAACCATTGAGCCATCAAAGCTCAAGGCAGTTATGTGGTTTGGTTTATATCATAGTTATAACCTCAATCCTAAATGAGTATTTCTTTCTCAAATATCCCTCAGATGTGCTAATTTTTAAAGAAAAATATATTTTAAGGCAAAAAAAGAGGGGGGGGGGGTAATTTAAACTCTAAAGCAAAATGAAACTTGCAATCATTTCTAATATCTGCATTTTCCACAATATAAAGATACAACAAACAAAATATTTAAAATACTACAAACCAAAATCTGAGAAGATTTTTCAGACCAGTCAAAAATGGTTTAACTAGTTTAATTTCATTTAAAAACAGAGGAACACTACAGTAGTATAAAAACTTCATGTTTTCATAGACAATCAGGTAACACAATAAATATATTTATTTCATAATTTTGCCTGTTTTGAACAATATTTGAATAACTTTCAAATTATTAAAAGTCGATAAATACAAAAAATTTAAACAGGAAAAAATTATAAAGTAAGAATTGTTGAAGTCAAAATGTTAGTAAAAAAGAAAAAATGCAAAATATATTTTTAAGTTAACCTTTGGGTCTGATAAAATAAATATGGCTTCAAAAGAACTGGTAAAAAATCCCACTGTAACAATAATTGAATTCTTTAAAAACCAAATATGGAAAAAAATAAGGAGAAAATTAAACAACATAGATAAAACACTCACAAAAAGTAAAATCACCGTATAATGAATAACTAGACGAATATTAAAGAAGGTCAAAATAGCAAGAGTAAATATGAAGTCAGGGAAAACAAATATAGCTCTTCAACATAACTTTGTTCAGTTATAAAACAAAATTTTCTCTAAGTAACAATAAGAAATTCAGCCAGATTTTATGCTTTTTGTTCAAAATTACCAAGTTATTGAATAGTATGTATCTAATATCGATTTAAAATATACAAAAACTCAAACTAAGTAATTGCGATCTTCTATTTATGTTTTATTCACATTTGAAATACAATTTTATATCATACATACAAGATACTTTTTTTTTAACAAAGAGAACTCTTTAAATAAATATATAGATATAAATAAAAGATTTTAAATTGCAAAATCTTTTCGATTTATGTTAAGTGTTTTTGATAGTAATACAAGTTTTGTTACTTTATTTAAATTTTTTCTTACTCACATTTTAATGTTAACTCTAAACTTTAAGCTAATTATTTTTTTTTCCAGTTCAATTTTAAGAAAGACAAATAGTGGAATTTTCTTATTAAATATTTGATTACTGTCAAATATGTGTTTTAATTTGGTTCCATTTCCTAATATCTAATTTATAACTAATAATTCAGTCAAATGACAACTTTACAGAATAACTTAAATATAAAATAATTCTTAATTTAAATTTCATTTCATTTAAACTGAGGCAGGATATATTATGACTAGTGACATGTAAAAAATTTTGAAGAAACAAAAAAGTCTTAGAGATTTCCATAATTAATCTTAAAAGCAATTATTTTTCTCAATTTTTGTACATAATACATAGTCCTTTCTCAATCAAAAGTATTATTAAACCATAATTTCTTTTTTTTTCAATTAGAACACAATATGACTACACACCACGAAAAAGGTATTTTAAAAAATATAATTCTTAATTCTTTTGACAGAATAGTTTTTTTCAACAAATTTATGACAAAAAAAGATGAAAAAAAGAGCTGATTTGTGAAAGTTATTCTGTAAAAAATAAGTTCATAACAAAACTTTTTTTTAACTATCCATTTCATGCCCATTTTGTACACCCAAAGGAATGAAAAGAAATTATGTAATAACACTACACTAAACCCCAGAATAAGTACATTAGCTTAAAGATACATATGATCATTTATAGCTCAGCTGATGAACAACCATTTGAGCATACCCAATCATAGGCAATATTGTAATGAAACAAACATGTATGGTTTTCCATAATCACTGCTCTTAATATATATTTTATATGTTTTTAATGAAGTGCACAAACTACAGACAGATCACAAATTAATATTTAAGCAAGGAAAAAAGATATCAAAATGCGAAAAATCACTATCAAAATCCGACTTAAAATCGTCAAAACCTGTTTGGTTGCAGATCAGACTTGAAGGTGTTTCTAATAATATCTTTTTAACTTTCTTAATTCCAATTGATATATATATATATATTTAATTCCCCTTCCACAATAGTTCATCAGATTTTGATAGTACTTTTTTCTAGTTTAAATATTAATTTTGCATATCCTAATCACAGATTTTTGAATTTTATCTTTTGCTAAAGATTCTAAAACATATATTAAGCAATGATTATGCAACACCCTGTTTATATTTATAAACTTTTCTTTGAACTGAAAATGTTTCATCCACTTTAAAGTTAGGAAAACATCTACTGAAAAGAGAATAGAAATTAAAAAACATTCACAAGCATAAAGCTATTCAAGATGTCATTACATAGAACTAATTATGAAGCTTTAGATGAGTTTGCATTGAATCTTTGCGAGAAAACCGCTTAAAACAGAATTCACAAGCGAATGGTTTTTCACCAGTGTGACTACGTTGATGAGATATCAAACGATGTTTCTGAGTGAATGCTTTTTCACATCTATCACATTTAAACGGTCTCTGAATATCATGGCTTTCTACATGTTTTTGAAGTTCTCTTTCAAACAGTGTATAGTATGTACACATATGGCAGCTATACAACATGCATTCTTGAGATCCTGGAATGTTTCCATCCAAACCTGTAAAATTTTTTGAGTATTTGAATTAAAATTTCAAGCATTTATAAAATATATTGAACAAATAAAGCAGTATGTAGAAAAAACTCTTCAAAAGTTTAAACAAAGTAATACTTTTTGCAGAGCCCTCATCAGACTTTGAGGGGCCTTAAAACGTTCTATTTCTACGGTTTTCTAAAGTACATGAATAATTTAGAACTCCTAATTATTATCCTGCTTATTCTATTTAATTGGAATTGTTTTCTAAAAAAGAGCAATGTATTTTTTCTTTTTTATATTTTACACTGTTCTTACACTTTTATGTTTAATAAACACAATAGTGGCACTTAAAAGTGAAAAATGTTGCATTTAAGAGCTCTACTAAATATTTAAAAATTAACGCTAACTCGTCAATGAAGTTTTTTTTTTTTTTTTAAATGGCTTCTAGAAATGTTGAGACTACTGCGTTCTTTTTAATTTCTTCTATATGATGAAATAGAAAACAAGGTTTGCAAGCATCAATATTAAAAATAAAGAAAAATTATATTAAGAAACTTTTTTACAAATATCATAGGTACAAGGCCCTAGCAATGACACTAGACAGTAAAGACATTCAATGACAAATTAAAGATACATTTAAGTTAAAATTAAAAGCAGACATTCAAATTTAGATTCATAACATTGATATATATGGGTTAATAAAAAAAGAAAAATTAAAGCTAGCACAGAAGCAACATGTTAACTTACGAGCAACAATATTTTCTTTCGATATAGCAGTATTTGAAAATTTATGAGTTACAACTATTAAATTTATTTTTAAAGATCATGTTCAAAGTTATGAGAAATATTGTTCTTTTTTTTTTGGTAAAATTAAAAGCTCTGGCCTTTTCTGTTTTTTCTTAAATACATTTTATAAAAACTTTTTATAAAGTATGGTTAGACAAAAAAGTTAAATTTTTCTTCCTTTTTTCAGAGTAAAAAAAAATTAACAATATTCTCTCCCCCCCCCCTCAGAAATTTGCATATTCTAAAGTTAATATGAGTATTTTCTAAACAGTACAACATTAACTTACAATATTTATTAAGAAACACATGTAATAAAGCTGCCAATTTTTCAATGAAATATTTATTTTGAAAATAGCTGTTATTCAAAAATGAACAGATCTAATTCTCTATTCATAAATATAACACTATTTTTTTATGTTGGCTTAGTCACAAACTATATAAAATCTAAAAAGCTTTTTCAGGCTTTTTACACAAAGTAAAAATACTGTTCCAATGGAGTTAATATAGAAATGTACATAGCCTTTATCTTTAACTTTCTGAAGACGAGATCTTATTTGAAATATTTGTTGCACAAATAAAGCTGATAAAATAAAACACAATTTTCAAAACTATGATGCTTCAATTTCTAATAAGAAAATGATATGCTTGATCAATATTTTTTAATACATTATTTTATAAGATATTATGATTTGGTTTGAAATATCCCTATTTAAATTTTTTGGAAAAGGTTTACTAGAATTTAATTAAAATGGGATGTACATGCATAAACACAGCCTGCATTTTTATTTTAAAAATATAATATAGAGAAAAGTTCATTAATTTCTATAATTTTAAATTTTGAACACTTAAATGTGTGAACTTGATGCATTTTCCTAAAATATTAACTATGATTTCCTTTAAAACAGACATATAAAATAATATTATATATATTTTTTTAATAAAGAATCAATATGTATAACTAGATATACAAATAAAATTTTAGAACACAATTTTCAACTTAATGATTAGGAAGGAAAATGTCTAATTTTTTAAAGCCTTTTAATATTGATAGAACTGGGAAATGGGTTGATAGAACTGGGAATATTGATAGAACTGGAAACTTCATTGCAAACATACTTATTTACAAGTATCGATAAATTACATTAATGATTTACTTTAATATATAATTTATTAACAGTCTATTGTAACTAATGGGTTGATTAAACAGAAAAGGGAAAATTAATATTTCCTTTTCGCAATGCATATTTCTTTTTAAACGACAGATTTATATTCAGAGTTCTTTTCAAAAAGTAACACAAAAATAAAGAAGATAAAACTATGTTAACCTTAATAATAAAGTAGAATTATTTTATATTTTATTCAAGTTACATTTACATACAATTAAGAAAACAGCAAGCTGACACACACTATTAGAAAAGCATTTTAAGCTTCTGCAATATAACAAAATGTTTATATTTTTCCAGAATCGGATGATTAATAATAATTTTTTTTATCATTACCTCAGCTATATATTTCATTCACATAAATGTTTCACACAAAATTAAGCTGTACAGAAAATATTATAAAACAACTAATAATAAAATACTTATATACAGCCCAGTTTATAGTAAATAATTATTATCTTTTGTTTAGGTAAATGCAATGAAAAATTTGTCTTGTGGGGCATTTATAGTTATTAATATGAATTTTCGTTTGCTTTTTAATAATTTAAGATTTCTAAACTAAACAATTTCAAATAAACTATACTAAATTTTTGTTTCTTAATAATTTAAGATTTCTAAGCTAAACAATTAACTATGTACATGTTATTTTAACAATCAATATAGGGATTAATTAATAATAACAACATGGAATATACATTTATAACTTTAAGAACTAAAAACTATTAGTAATATGAAAATAATATTTGTAAAAATATTTGTAATATGAAAATAATAAAATACCAAATAAAGCAACAAGATTTCATAAATATACTTTATGCAAGTATAAGATAAGGATATTTTAATACAAAATAATTCATGTGAAAATCTTTATTAAAATATCATATATGCCTTCATATATATTTAAAAAAAGAATTGGATGATATCTAGCAATAATATTACAATTAGAATGATTCAAAATAGACTAATGAAATAAAAACTGATTACTAATTTATCATTTTTAATACAATTGCCAAGTAAATTACTAAGGAATAATGAAGATTATTGACATTTATAAAATACAATTAAGAAGTAATTTTAAAATACATTGAGAGCTTTTTAAGAGTTGTCATTTTAAAACAAATTTAAATAAATAAAAAAAATGTAAGGAAATGCAGTAAAGATTTTTTATATCATATTTTTTCTTCTTCTTTTTAATAAGTTATTTTTTTCTCCATCATATAATCCTACAGTATTAATAATAAAGCATCAAAAATAATTTTAGACTGCTAAAATAAAAGCAAACCTATAGGAGAGAGGGGAAAATGTCTCTAGAATTTAAAAGTTTCATGAAGAGGATTGGGGTGGGGGGGGATCTGGGATACATTGCATCATATGAGTTCAAATAAACAACTGTTCTTTTTCCTCCTTTTTTTTAAAGAAAAAACTAACAATTCTAAATTTAAAGTGGAATGCTGTTAATAATTACATGACTTTAAGGCTATAAAACATAACAGACATAAGCATTATTGTAAGCACATAAATATCTGGAAAATTCTAACAAAAAAATTGTTTGTAACATTAATTTTCACATTGCTTTCTTATGAAATACAGTTACACACTATTTATATGCTTTCAGTTTATATTTTTTAACATTCATATTCTATTCTTAGCCATCTATTACAAAACTTATTTTCCTTGTCTTTCTTAATTAAAACTATTTAAATTTTTGCTTTTATTATGGAAAATTTTGAAGATGCAGATCACTAAAATAAATTGGAAGGATAAATTAGAGTTAAAGGAATGAAAAGAAAAAATTCACAAAAACAATACAGTAATTTAAAGGGACTTATTTTAAATACATTATTTGTCTTTACAGCATTTATCTGGATTAAATGTGATACAATTCAAAAATAAGTTTCACTAGCTAAAAAAAAAAAATGATTATGCTGCTTGTAAAACAAAATAGAAAAAAAAAATAATGCATAGATTATTTTTTGTTAAAAAGCACTTGTGTTAAATTATGATATATATGCATAGATTAAATCGACACACAATTTACATAAAGAATAAGATATACATCAAAAGTTATATTAGCTTGCTAGGAAGCAAGATTTTCATGATTAAAGTGTGTTTTAAGTATATGATAATGGGTCAGTTCTCTGACTTGGATTTTTTGGGAGCTTGCACCAAGATGTAGCAACAATACAGCTAGAAAGTAGTCAATAAATTTTAATCAAGTTATTGGCTGCAAATTGTATTTTCCTTTAATATTGCAATTTTTTTAATTATACTTTGTTGTTTTTATAAATTAGTTAAAATAATGAAAAATTTTTTTAAAAATTATTTAAAATATTGAGAATCTGATTGGAATATCTGAAGCAGGTTGATCAATCCAAAGTCAGTAAAAATGCTTGATAAGTTTCAAAAAATTGCAAATTGTATTTTCCTTTAATATTGTAATTTTTTTAACCATAATTTGTTGTTTTGATAAATTATTTATAACATTGAAAAATGGATTATTATCAAATAAAAAATAATGGCGTCACGTGAAAACTATGAACTGGATCGTTTGAAAAGTCGACTGTCAACAATTGTTTAATCTTCAAAAGTTGAAGGAATTTGGAACAGGCCCCAAAAGCTCCATGTCGCGGACCTCATTAATTCATATTATGTCTCAGCCCGTTAAAACACATAAAAAGGCGTTTTACTGTAAAAGCAAAACTAAGATCAAATAAATCCGAATAAATATTTCTAATTTTCATTCACATCACAATTGTCTTGGCTGTCATTTTTATCATCTTTCTTATGGGTATTCATATGGTATTTTAAACTGCTTCGAAAACGCATAGGTTTTTTGCAGATTGGGCAAGAATAAGGTCGTTCATCTGTATGCGTCAGAAAATGATCTTTTAAATCCCCTTTACGAATAAAACTTTTCATGCACACTTCACAAGTAAAAGGACGTTTTCCACTGTGAACAACTAAATGGGCTTTAATGCGACTCATGTGAGGAGTCGAGTAACTACATGAGCAACAGAAAAGACGTCCTTTATAAGCATATATTTTATTCACGTCAGCTGGAATATCATCATCATCAGAATCCATATCTTCTTCAGAATCTTAAAGGGAAAAAAAAATTATAAAAAATTGGCAGTATTATCCATATTAAATGTATACAAAATTTAATGTTAATACTGATAATTTCATACAAAAAAATCAACACGGTTTACATTTAAGATATAACAATAACTTTATTATAAATTATTGTAAACACTTCTGAAAAATAGAAATAATTTATTTTTGAAATGTTGAGAAAGAGTGCTCATATTCTTCCGAAGATTCTGAAAATATATAAAAATAGTATTAATCACAATATAAAATATCAATAAATGTTTCAAAAGGCAGAATTGTTAAAATCTAGTTTAACTACTTAAAAACATTAAATCAAATTAAATAAAATTTGTTTAAAAGGATTAACAGTAAATGAAATATTACCGGGTATGAAAGTAAAATATTCTCCACAATTTTTTTTCCTTTCCAATACCTACCCGACATTCGTCATTTAGGTATCAGTAGGGTAGAACTGCTGGTCACTCTTACAGAGGCAGCATATTAGGTAGGATAACATTGCTCCCACAGTAAGGACAGATAGTACAGAGAATGAATGAACATCCATGCCTTGTCTGGGATTCTAACCTAGGACCTTTCTGATTTGAGATCAACTCCCCGATAGGACTAACTACACAGACTGGTAAACTTTTACATTAACAAAAAAAGTTAAAAAACTTATATTTAGAAATAAAATAAAAGCAAATTTGTATCCTTATTGCATTACATAATGTACTATGAAACCACATAAATTTTAAAATGTAATTTTTACCCACTATTTCATTAAAGCAAAAATACCATATTTAACACAATACTAAAAAGCTTTTAAGCAGAAAATACAGTACCTTTAGTTCGTCCAGAACAACGAAATTTAATTTTTTCATTTCATTTTACTTAATTTTTATGTGTTTAAAATATATATAACATAACAAATAAAATAAAAAGTAGCTGGTCTGAATTTTTGGGTCAATTTTCCTTTGCGTCCGGCTAACCAAAAAATACACATAAATCATGGAAGTCAAACTAACATTTAACAATAATGCTTTATAAACGATGCGCTAGAAATTGAAATATGTTAGATATATATATTTATTTACATTAGCATGCATAAAAACAATCAAATAGACTGCTTACAAAGATAAAAAATGATTTTTAGTTTAATACTGAATTGCAAAAGCAACAGGAAACAATACTATAATAGTATTATTAATAAAAGAACAGGTTAACGAAATGGTGAAAATTCGCTACTTGTTAATTCACTATTTCAAATTAGCAAAAAGTTTTTCACCAAACTGCATTAGTAAAAATGAAATACATTAAGAATTAAAATAAATATTTATAAGTTTTTGAAAATTATTAATATATTTTTTTTTTGGGGGAACACATAATTCGTTATAAGAAAAGCACAAACTTTTGCGCTTCACGCGAACAAACCATTTAATCACATAGAGACATTTTCATTAAACCTTGATAAATTGAATGTTCTTGTCACAATTATAGTGCTTTTCAAATGTTTTTTAGTTTTACATTAATTTAATTTTTAACGTTCAAAATTTAGAGAATCTGTTAACAATCGGATTCGGGTAATTGTCACAATTTCGAAGTTTTATGATCGTCAACACATACGCTTACAGCTCACTTTAGAGTATTAATTGATTGTTAATTGATTTTGCAGATGTACTTTCCGCACTTTTCAGTGAAGATCAATCAATCAATTGCTTTTGTAAATAATAAATATTGTTCTGAAAAATGTCCTTTGAGATATGTTTATTTCTTGATCGCATAAAAACTGAAATTGTTCCGAAAGATTTATTTAATGTAAAAATCTAAAACAATTCTAACCTACTTAAATAAGCTTTTAAATAATTTTATTATTGAAATGAATTTGAATTTAATTCAGCCAGATATAAGTAAATTGCCTTTTCTCTGCGAAACGTGTGGCAAACGATTTCCTAAAAAAGATAACCTTACAAGGCATGTTAAAAATCATTCCCCAATTAAACCTTTTGTCTGTGACTGTTGTGGAATGACATTTCGTAAAAAAGGCAATCTAATTGCCCATTGCACGGTTCATAATAATGTGAAACCCTTTGCCTGTGAATTATGTGATAAGAAATTTCGTGTTAAAGGCCAGTTAACTAGACATCACTTAGTTCATACCCAAGAAAAACCATTTATGTGTGAAGTTTGTAATCAGCGATATGCTGATAAATCAACTCTTAAATCTCACTTGTTTACTCACACTGAATTAAAACCCCACGTATGTGATGTATGTCAAGAACGGTTTGCTAAACGTCGTACTCTAAGACTGCATTATTACTGTCACACTGGAAGGCCACACCCATGTGAATTTTGTGACAAAAAATTTCAATCAACTAGTCACTTAAAAAGACATTTACTAACTCATACTCGTGAAAAACCCTTTGTTTGTGAAGTATGTGACAAAAGGTTTGCACAAAGATGCAGTTATAGAGCTCATTTCTATCGTATGCACACCAATGAACGTCGTCATTATTGTGACATATGCAACAAGAGTTTTACGGAGCGAGGAAATCTGAAGAAGCATTATGCTGTACATTTCAAGTAGAATGCTTGTTAATTTTTTCAAATTTTGTGAGTTACAGTCAATTTTTACTGAAAATGAAATGAGTTAATTGTATCCATATGGGTCAAAATAGTTACCAAGTTTTGTCAACAGCGGGACAGAGGCATGAAGGAAACTTAAAATAAAAAAACACTAAATCACAGAATGAGGCAAGCTTCTCACTCTTTGTATTTTTCAATTAACATAAAGCACTAGAATCATCTCATGGGGATTTAAGTTGGTATGAGCAGGCACAGATATGGAAACACCCTCCAAAAACTTTGACTTCCACTTTTCATATGAGAATCCAATTTAGCCTGTCTATCTAGAGAACTCCCCAGTTGTCAGTAGCACTGTCGGTGACTATGGTTACAAGGTTGAATTATTTCGAGTAGAGGCGTGGGGTAAACATTTGAGACAAGTTTTGATGGGGGTCTGTGAGTGCAATATCAAAAGCTCTTAAACGTGCTCTTCCTTGTTTCCATAACAGCCTCAGTCTCTGGCAGGGGGAGTTTTTTAGATAAACAAACTGTACTTATCTGTTAGTGGTGTATTAAAAGAAGGTTGACGAAAATTAACAAGTTTTATCATAAATGCATCAGTTAGATCTTAGTGGACTTTTATTTTATTACATTAATTTCACACAAATATAAGGAATAATAATGAAAAAATCTTAATGCTCTTTAAAAATTATCACTAACAGTTTCACAATAATTAATTATATTATAACTATAATTCTTTTTAATACTTGAAAACACTTTGAAACCATTTTGGTCCAGTAACCTGCCAATTGATAAGTATACTGAGAATTTACCTCACTGTTGCTAGATATATGATGACTCGCTATTCTTTGTTGAAACTAGGGTTGTGATTTATTGGTAATGTTAGAAAAAGGTATTACAGTACAGAACCCGTTATCCGGAAATCAGAAAACCCAAAAACCGGAACAAAATTCGATAAATTTTCTCGCCATTTTTTTAAAAAAAATTTTTTTTCCTCGTAAGATTTTACGATTTTTCTTTCTTTTTTTTAAAGATGTTTACCTTTCCATCATTTTGGAAATAATCATTAGTGTATTACTTCATCGTTTTTTCTTATTTTTAAGATTATTTCCTAATTTTTTTTTTAGTTGGGTTTAACAATAAAAAAAAAACGGTTTTTTGTAGCGATTCAGAAAACCGGAAAAATCAGTTATCCGGAATAGCGATGGTCCCGACCATTCCGGATAATCGGTTCCCTACTGCACCTATAAGTTTCTGGTGAGAATAAATCAATTTTAACACTTACTAATGCTGGGAAATTTTTTTTCGACTGAAATATCCTCAAATGATTTAAACAGTAGTTTAAGGAAGTAAATTTCATTTTTCTGCTTTTTTCCTTCTAAGAATCTTTTAGTTACAGCCCTGGTACTCTACCTCTTAAAAAAAGAAATAATGTTGAATTTATAAAATAAATTTAAAAAAAATATGTATTTGTTGTTATTTGATATACACATTAAATGATTTCTGTTTTAAATATGATATAAGTTCTGTGGCATTTTTCTTAATATATATTTAATTTTTTATACAGTAAAGCCTGTATTAATGTTAAACTTTCAATAACTTTAGTGGTCACTATTTTCTGGCTCCCGCAACATGCAGCTCTTATTTATACTGTTGGTCTTAATGAAAGATTTCCTTTCCTTTGCTAGGCGTCTAGAGCACTGTCAGTAACTATGAACAAGAGGTTGAATAATTTAAGTAATGATGCAGAGAAAAATTTTGGACAGGGCTTGATTCTCGTTGGAGAGAGAGCTCCTCTTTTCGAAATTTGATTTTTTATGTTTCCATAGCAGCAGATAGTCTTAGAATTTGAGGCAGGAGTTCTTTTGTTTGACAGTTAATAATTGCTTTTTAAATCTAAGTCATCAATGACTGGTCTCTGTATAAATTCTTATGGGTGAACATTATTGTGAATTTTTCAAATGCTGGATTTTTTTACATTTTTTAAAAAGTATTTAAAGGTTTCTTTATCAATGACAATGATATAGCATGATGCATGCATATTTAGAAATTAAATTTAAGTATCTGGACAGTGGCAATTTTCCCACTAGGCAGTTACGTAGAGCTGTTGGGTTAAAAGCAGAGTAATTTATAAAAATTATATTTATTCGAAAATTTACAGAGAGTTGATGTAAAAACAAATTTATATGATTTATAAATATAAAGAACTAAAGCAATTTCAAAACGTTGCAAGTATAATTGGTTAGGTCTTTTAATAAATGAGTAAGTTCCTTGAAAATATACTGTATTTAGAAAAATCTCTAGAATTTACTGAAATTTTCTGGTTTTACTAAGCTGAGTTAGCCTAGTAGTTATCGAATAACTTCTTTTATTGGCATGACAGCCCTTTGTGGGTCAAAGCCTTCCCTAGAACCTTCCTCCATTCTGCTCTTTTCTTTGTGATTGTTCTCCAGTTAGTAATTCTTAGAATTTTAAAATTCTCTTTCACACAGTCAGGCCATCTGATTTCAGACCTACCTCTAATTCTAGCTCCCATTGGTTTGTAATTGAAGATCTTAAATGTCTAGTAAAAAGGGTCCAATCGACAGACATGACACCTGCAAGCTTTAAGCGACTTATTTTTTATGTATTTGTTTACATCAGCTTCCTTGAATAGCCTATACAGCTCAAAATTAAATCATTTCCTTCATAAGCCATCCACATTTATAGCACCAAGGATTTTTCTCAAGGCTTTTTTTTTTTAAAAAAAAAAACAGCAAGCAGGTCTGATTGTGATTTAGTTAAAGACCATGTGTTCTCAAATAACAAGACTGTTTAATGTATCAGGTTGAATATAATCATTATTACCGTCCGAGATGACTAAGATCTTTCCCATTTTTATTTTTATAATTATTAATTAAAAATATCTTGACACATGACTTTGAATGTGGAAGACAACTAGCTTGGAGGGTTAATATTTAAAAAAAAAAAAAATTAAGCATATATTTGTCTAAAAAATTACTTGTCATTCTGGGTCTATGATTTTCTAATTAAACCGTGTGCACAAAAAGACCCAGTTTACTATTTGGACTTTTCTGTAATTTCTTCACCTTGAGAATTATTTTTACTGAGATGATATACTTGATTTGAAATATTATCGCATCACCATAAGATTTTATTTTAATCACCATTTTAATCATCAAAATTTATTTACCAGTTTTCATAAAACTTAGTCAACTGATGTAAGAAATTTTTTTTTATGTAAAATTTTAACTTGTTTGTGTAGTCCTTCAGTAATATATTCTAAATTCATTTATTACTAATATGTAAAGTTTAAAACTTTTTTTTAAAAATATTAAATGCATTGCTTTAATTACTATCCAGAATTTTTTAATTATCTTATGAATTTATTCAATAGTTAGATTCGAGATTTGTTTCCTTTTTCTGAGAAAAAGCAAAAAAGACTTACTACGAAAACGTCTTAACCAATTGTTGCAAACTTAATTTTGTTTCAATTTTTAATAATAATAATAAAAGATTATTAATGCGTTACATACAAGGTGTATTAAAAAAGTTCACTGACTGGACCTTATAAACAACACAATTTAAAGAGCCAGGAAAAATCTATGGTAAAATGGCAGATATTAAAGGGTTCAAGAAATGGATGCAGATGGGGCAATTGAATGGTATGTTTGTAAACACTAGCGTAACATTGAAATGCATAAACATAAAATTTGTTATAAATTGAATAAATATTTTAGGTGTACTGTACAGATGCCCTTAACATGAGATGTATTTAGGGTTGATTTAAGAGGAAAGGAAACCACTGAACATGACTTATCACATTCACTACAACACTCAACAAATGATTGATATCGATACCATAGAAATTAGTAATTTGCCATGAATTAAGGCAAAATCTGTACAGATTTTGGGCTATATTTTTGGAAGATGTGCAACACCTGTAATTCGATTTGTTGTAAAAGAGGCTTTTACAGACTTATACTAGCAGCTCTATTTATGATGTCTACGTGGTTAATTGATTATTTTCAAGATAAATAAAGATAATATATTTTATTTCTTTAATTTGCTTAAGCTCCCATTCACCAAGCTTTTCAGTTGGATCTTGTAATAGTTAGTATTTTAGTGGAAAACCAAAGCTAAAGAGCTAAACATGTATACCAAGATTTAATATTCATGTCAGATCTTGATGTGACCTGAAATAAATACAAGTTTATTGTCACTTTCATTCAGCTGTTATGTGCAGAATATTTGTATAGGTATTATACATATATAGCATCTGAATCTAGTAATTATTTTTCTTCTATGTATATATATATATTAATTTTAGCAAGCCAATATTAACCCAAATAATTGAAATAAATATTAAAATAAATTTATTTCAATTATTTGAGTATATTTTAATAAAATAAATATTATTGTCATAAACCCAAAAACTACTTTTAAGTCTGGCTATCTACTTTTAAGCCTGTTTTATAGTTATCATATGACATTTTAATTTGAACTGCAATATGATACATTATTCATATTGGTATTAAGATGTCTGATAATTTGAGATTGTGTTAATTTTTTCTTTATCACAAAATGTTCAAAGAAGTATTCTCAAAATCAGCATTGCTTTTTAGTTTTTAAATGTGTAAAAATATACTAAAAATTATAGTACAGAGTATATATTTTATTTCAACATAGTGAAATTTTTATACATTTCTTCTTTTTTTACTGTTTGTAATTTTCTGAATTATAACCTCAGCACCACTATTGTTGGCTACTGGGATTCAATAAATAGCACCAACATATCAATTTCTTGTTCTATGACTTTTGATACTTTTTATGATAAAAAAAACTTATACTCGCAAAACAAAATGATTTTATTTTAACCCCAAAAAAAATATCTAAGAATAAGACATGTATTAATAGCCTGAAACATAGCATAACTTTCAGAAGGGATTAAATAAACAGTACATATTCTTAATTTAAAAACTGGTGTAATAGCAAACACATGACAAAATCTCGTAACATAAAACATGGTGTTAAGTATAAGAACATTTTTGATACATTAGTTTTAATATTTTTATGCTTTATGATATGTGAATGAAATTGGAACAATTTAAATCATGTGGAAACTTTATTTTAAGTAAATATTATTATTATTTTGTAGTGAATATGTTTCAATTTTTCAGATCCTATGTTCTTTTATGGTTTTGGTTACCAAAAAGTTCTTTACACTACACCTTCTATCATTTTAAAAATTGTTCATATTTTTAGTGAAAATAGTAGTGAGAAATTTTTTTAAAAAACTAGCTAGTCTTTAGAATTGAAATTTCTTGCCCTGAACTAATATGTAATTTAGTTCATGCATTATTTTTTATTTGATAGTTATTATGGTATAAAATAATAACATCGCTAACTAAACTTATTTTAATCTCATTGGAAGTATGCTGTGTCTACTATTTTTTTCATACAGTGAGAGGTTGGTCTAAATAGGAGTGCACAACCCTTTTGAGTGAAGGGCTACTCGCACACAATGTTGACCAACGAAGAGCTGCACACACATTTCAGTATATTGACAGCAATTAACATAATTTTTATATAAAGATTAGTGTTCTAAGCAATATTAGTCAACATGATTTTTTTTATCACATCACATAATACAAAAGTTCACATAAATAAATGTAAACAATCGTTGTCATTCCCAGGGAAGGATTGTCATAAAGTCTTTTTCTTTTTAATACCGCCAGATGGCATTCTTTTTAAATTTGTATGTATTTGTCTGTTTAATGTCAATAAAACTTTTTCTTTCTGTTTGAATCTTTATCTCCACCGACTACAATAAAAAAAACTGCAATGCTCAAAGAATTAAAGTAAAGCAAAGAATAAACAAATAATTTTATTGAATATTATAAATAAATTCAAATTAAATATTTTAAATAAAGAAAATTTATAAGGTTTAAATTAAAATAAAACCAATACTGTACAAAGTATCAATATTTAGTGAATTATAAGAGGCTTTATGAATGCAAATTGAACGTATCAAAAAGTGATGACATGTTTATGAAATGATGAAAAGTATGCTTCCGCAGGCCACACTTCAACATTTCTTAGGCTGCATGTGGCCTGCGAGACGCAAATTGCACACCCTCTAGTCTACAAAATAGTAAAATTATCATGAAAGAATAAACCATATAACTTTAAAGTTCAGAATAAATCTTAGAATTTTAATAAATAAGAATTATGAACAAAAATTTAGGCTATTTTTGACCATTGGAAAAACATAACTAAGAAATTGTTATTTGAAACAAATTAAAAATTTTTTAAAGATAATCTGAAAAAAAAAAAAAGTTGTCATTGAAACTTATAGTGTGTGCTGCAAAAAATTGCAATTGTTTATCTTAAATTGAGGAAATATGCTATTTCAAAAACAGATCCCAGAGTATGCTTTAAAAACTATTAATTATATAAAAATTGATAGTGATACAATAAAAGATGTGTACTTAGACATGACCTTTGAATTTGGATAAGAATTATGTATTACTCAAATAATGATAAAAATTTTAACTATATAATTTTTTTGCATGTATATTAAAAGGAAATATAATTGCTTTGTTATATCTATAGTACGACATGACCAAAACTTTCATTTCTTTTCTTATCCTTCAGTGAAGCTTATAAAAAAAAGTACAAGGTTACACCAATTAAGATCGATTTGAAGTTTTTTTGCATAACTAAATGGCATGTCTACAAATTTTTATATAAAATGCGTGAAGCAACGTGATTTGATACAATGTTAATTATCGCAAAATAAAAATTATAAATCCTAGTTGTGATTTCAAGAACTAATATTGCATTAATAATATAAAATATATAACTGTTTTTACCTTTGTGAAAGAGTGTTCACAACATTTCATCCACAAAATGATTACTTTTATAACACATTTCTTGTACCTGGTGAAATCTAGTCAAGTTTTAGCACATTTTTTAAATAGCGAGAGAATGTAAGTTCTAGAAAATCACTGTAATATTTAAACTAAATATTGTTATTTTTGGTCAATACTTTAAACTCAAAAGCGACTTTATCTAACCACACTCATTTTAATAGATTGGCAAACAAAAACTCGATGTCCAATTAAAAGTATTAGTACTTTGTCTTTATAAAACGCTTGTGTTTTAGTACAAATAATTAATTGTTCATTTCTATTATACTTTATGACACTAGATTTTTTTAGCACTAATTTTATTCTAAAGTTGTGTAAATCATTAATTGAAAAGTGTCTGGTTAAAGTATTCATTACAATTTAAAACATATTTTCTTGAAATACAAGAGCTTTATCACTTGGTTGCTGTTGGTGTTTTACACACATTAAGTTAAATTTTATGTAGACATAAAAATAATAGACACACGAATAATAAAATGCAAAAATTTCTATCTCACTTCCGCCATTCACATTAAATGATGCTTAAACAAATTGATAGCAAAGTTTATAAAAATATTTTATTAGTAAAAGGCACTTGTACAAATTATAAAAATGTATAAATTCATTAATTCTTTTATGAAATTAACAAATGCTGGGAAACATAACATTTAAATAAGTATTTATGAATTAACAATTATTTGAACTTCTAAAAAGATATTCAAATTTCGTATTGCTTCATTTAAACAGTTTTTAGCATTTACATTCAATTCATTACACATGAATTGATAAATCATGTGATAGTAACAATTCAGTAAGTGATTATATATTACGTATATTTCTTTAGTATATCTCTATTTAAGTATATCTTCACTTAAGTATAAAACATCACTTAAGTATGTCTTAATTTCATGACATCTAATTATACTTGTAAATTCCCTCGCCAGATTTTCTGCCCAATTTACCTTCAGATACTAATTTATTCAAAAGTTCAGATGGAGCAAACAGAGGATTATCAGGGAATTTTTCATGCCATCCTAATTAAAATATAAAATTATTTGTAATAAAAATAAAATTCATACATTGTTATATAAAATAATAACATTTATAACAAGTTAAACAATTCATATAGGTGGAACAAAAAATTTCTGATATCCTATTTATGGACAAAATCACAGCAAAAAACTTTTAGTTTGAAATAATAGATAACACAAATTTGTAATGATTCACCAAAAATTCTTATCAATTATAATGCTAATGCTTTATTATAAATTTGGATTTTTTTCTGATAAAAGAAAAACTGAATAAGCTAAAGCAAATATAATAATTTTTGAAATTCTTCTATTTGTTTCAGACCCATATTTAGTGATCAATTTAAACGCAGCTGCAATAGGATACAATCCTCCCTATAATTTTTACAGATGCAATACTCATTTTCTATTTGCACCTTTAATTCTTCTAAGACAATAAGAGCTATACTTGTATTCTACACAATCAAAAATTTAATAGTCATAAGATCAATTTTTAAACCTGCATCTTAACATCAAAATCTTAAGTACACAATAAGGAATAATAGAATGTGGGATTTTGCCCATTTATTTTCTTTTAAATTGAAGAAAAATAAAATCATGTTTCTCGTTAATTAAATTTCATTCAAAATACATTTTAGTTCAGATGTTTGAATGGTGAATTATTGTAATATTTCTCATGCCAGGCTTTTACGATGCACAATTATTAGCGTTATAGTAAAATTATGACATCATGTAAAACATGTCATTTATGTTAATTTTATCTAAGTCTGCATACCGCCACAAACAATGTGGTCTATTGAAAACAGAAAAGCTGAAGGAGAGAATAATGACATCATGTAAAGTTATGACATCATGTAAAACATGCTATTTACGTTAATTTTATCTAAGTCTGCATACCGCCACAAACAATGTGGTCTTTTGAAAACAGAAAAGCTGAAGGAGTGAATAATGACATCATGTAAAGTTATGACATCATGTAAAACATGTCATTTATGTTAATTTTATCTAAGTCTGCATACCGACACCAACAATGTGGTCTATTGAAAACAGAAAAGCTGAAGGACTGAATTGGAAGGCAATAGTCTTTGATAATTTTTTTTATTCAAAATTTGTAAAAGGCGTCAATCTAGTAGTGGATAACATATATACATATAACTTATACAGAGTCTTTAACTTACCATCAAGAATAAATTTGACGGTATCAAGACCAACATAATCTAATAGCTCGAAGGGACCCATTGGATATCCAGAACCTAATTTCATAGCAATGTCTATATCTTGAGCAGTAGCATCACCTGAAATGGAAAGTAAGAAAAAAAATTGAATTTAATTATCAAGAATTTTTTTTTTGTCTAACTATATTAAGTAATAATCAAAAAATCTTTGAATTAACTAGTAAAACAATAAACAAACAATACAATAGTAGTTTTCTTGGTTGCAAATTGATTCAAAACGTTCAATTGTTTCAAAAATTGAGTAGTCATGTAGGAAAATAGTTTAAATGTGCATGAGTCTTTCAAATGGATAATTTATTAATTAAGAGTAATACATAAACATTTAAAAATTACATATATTTATTTAAAGTAATACAAACTCACATTGGTTTACACATAAAATGATTAAAAGATTTCCACATAAGAGGATTTTTATAGAAAAAAATTTGCTATTTTTTCATTTGCTTACATGTTAGCTAAAAGTATTTTTATAAATAATAAAAAATTAAGTTATTTAAAAGAATTTTTCTTGAAAAAAAAATCTAACATATCCTTTTTCATAAAAATTGTTCTGCTTAAACAAGTGGTTTAAACCAGCCAACCCAGCAGCTAAGTTAAAAAAAAAAAATCTGTAGTTAATTCACAGAATTGAATTTTTTATAAATTACATTTTAAAAAATGACGCTCATACAGCCTTTTATCTATTTCACAAAATCTACCACACATTAAGTATTGAATTAGTTTTATCAAACTTAATTTTTCCATTTATGTGATTATTTTTCTTAAAAATTATAAAGATAAAACCTAACTGATGAAAAATACATATCAGTCAATCTATAAATTAAGAAATAATTTAAATATACCTCGCTCTAACATTCTGATAGCTTCTCCCTGGTAAGGAACTAAGAGTCTATTCACAACAAATCCAGGAGTGTCCTACAAAAAGAGATAAAATATACCTATAATTTACAATAATGCTAAAAGAGCTCTGGTGGCTCAGGGGATAGAATGTTCGCCAGGTTAGAATTCTAGCGATGACAGAGAGATAGAATTTCGCACCCAGCTTGCACCAACCACAGTGTTGACGTAAAATATCCTCAGTGGTAGACAGATCATTTGTTAGAGTCCCTTTGCTGTCAGGCTACTAAGGCTAGGTTCCTCTACATGTTATGTGAATATGGGATTCTTCCATCAAGAAGTCCTTCAGGAAGGCAAATGTTTAATAAAATTTGATCCAGGAACCCCCTTGCCTTCTAGATTGGGTTCAAAATTACAAGGCTACGAAGTTGAACATTAGTAGTCAGAAACCCAAAACTGCACCAGCTGTTCAAAGGTTGTCAGAAAAGAAAATAATGCTGAAAGCAAATGTAGTGATGGTTCTCTAAGTAACAGTTTTGGCTATCTCTAAACTTTATGGTTTTCTTTATGAAAAAAAAAAAATCGCCTAATGAATCAGTGGATTGAAAGGAAAATCAATACGAGGGAAAATTTTCTACAATTTCATCAGGAGTAGTAGCATTTGGAAGTTAATGAATATAAATTTATAGTACTTCAATCATCACAGATTGATAATTGCTAAGATGAAACAAAGAAAAATTTAACATATTTCTAACCTTGCAAGTTATGGTGGTTTTTTCCAATTTTTTACCAAATTCCATCATTGTATTGTATGTTTCATCAGATGTTTCAGAAGTTTTAATAACCTGGAAAAGTCAATATATTTAGTATACATAAATATAATTAATTTACTCACTAAACTAAAGCATTTTTAAGTTATATTTTGAAACAATTTTAGAGCTGACAAATAAGCTAACATGGATATTACAATGTCATTTATACACAGTTATAGATGCAAACTCGTAGCAATTATAAAATTTTTTTTAGATATTTTTGAAACAATATTAACAAGGTGAGCTTAGAAACATACACAGGAAAAAAAACAAAGTTTTTTCAGACTGGTATTTGTAAATTTCTATATTTTTTTTGTAACTAATAGCATACAATTTAAAAATTTTATAGTTCTGTATAATTCATGCACATAAAATATAATACTCAACACTCTTATGAGTGAATGAAATTGAAAATATTTTCTTTTAAAATTACTACAATGATTTTCCGTTATTATGAAGTCAGAACTAAAATTTGTTGAAGGTGGAAAAAAAATCTTTAGTAATTGGCATCACTACACATTAAACTCTTTCAAAAAAAAAGTGGTCATTATTAAATCAATGTCAATGCTTATAAAAGTAATCAGATAGAAAGTGCAGCTAACAAACTATGGCTATTTCACGATAACAAATGATAATTAAAAACTTTTTACCTCTAAGAGTTTCATCATAGGAACAGGATTAAAAAAATGTAAACCACCAAATCTATCTTTTCGATCGGTAACACTTGCAATTTCACTAATTGACAATGAGGAGGTATTACTAGCAAAAATAGTTGATCTACAAAAGAAGCATATTAAAATATCTATTAATAAGTACAACATAATGTCAATTATTGCTAAAATCTGAAACAATGCTCTTAAATCTGTTTTCTTATTTGCTGTTACATAGAGGTTAAAAATTTACTTTAATATTCAAAAAAAAATTTTTTCCCACCCTAACTACAAGAAATTACATATATAAAAAAGGATTTCTTTCTATCTATCTATATATATATATATAGTGCTAATAATCTTTTATTAAGTGTAAATGGGAATTTAGTTTTTTCTCACTTATGCATAATTCCTAAGTATAACAATTATAATTATAAATTACCTTCTTCATTCGAGAATTTTTTTTGTTAGATTAATAAGGAAACATTCCTGGAAACGATGAATCAACTGACTTTTCACAGTGATAAAGGTGCTCATTTGTTAGTAAATGCACCTGCAGGTGCACAAATACACCAAGAACCTACAAATTTTCTTAAATTTAAAAAAAAAAAAAAAAAAAATTCAAGTCTTTTTTTTTAGACAAAATATATATATATNTATATATATATATATATATATATATATATATATATATTTAATACAAATTATAGAATACAAAAAGTTTAGATTCTTAACTCATCCTTTATATTGAACTAAATATGTAGAAAATGTAAAAAGTTTTTAAAAATCAGAAAAGTTAAATTACAATAATAACTTAGTTTCTGGCAATTTTATAAGTTAGAAATACAAAAATTTCATTTTCCCAGTAAAAGAGTTGAATCTCTGAATTAATCATATTGCTAGTAGTTTTTATATACAAATAATATTTTTACTTTTTAGAAGTAATCTCATACGAATTTTTGATCGTTCCTAAAGTGTTCAGAAAATTGTTTTTAATAAAAGAATCATTATCTTTAGTAAAAAAGAAAGTAACAAACACAATAAATTTCAAGATCAACACTTAGATTCTTAAATTCACACATTTTATAACATACTTATCTTCAATAATACAAGGAAAAATACTTTAAATATAAGTTAGCTTCCTTAATATTAAGAAATACAGAAATTCTTTGAATACTTAAACGTACGGAGGAGCTGCTTTATCTAGTGACTTAAATAATTTGTGTTTTATTTCCATATTTTCAATAATGGCTTCCACTACAATATCTGTATCTTTTACTGCATCTTCAGCTACTGTATTAGTCTTTATTCTCTGTAATGTTTCAGTCACAAACTTTTCCTTTTGCTAGAACATTGAATAATGCATTTATTAATCTTATAATTGTGCCAAATTAAACTAAAAAAAAGCAAGGCATGTAAATCATATTTAATACGGAGATGAGTTTGGTAAAAAAGTTGAAAATAGAAATCAAAATGTCATGAGCAAAATACATTTTAAATAATTGAAAAAATATCTGAAATTTTAGTAACAAAAAGTGAACATCAGATTCTTGTGTGTTATTAAAAATGTCAATGCAGGACTTTTGAAATTGAGTGAATAAAAAATCTCTGAGTGAGATTTTGAAATCTCACGAATATGAATACGGACTGTCCAACTTCTAAATCACAAAAATAAGTATCGTTATGTGCAATTTTAAATTGCGTGAATACAGATCATTACATGCTATTTTAAACTGTGTAATACATACTACAATATATGATCTTATACTGCATGAGTACAAATTGCGATGCATGATTTCAAATCTCGCAAATGCTATTACGATGTGTGATTTTCAATCACATTTACATAGGTAGAAAAAAGTGTAAAAAATTAATATTTTTTCCAGGAACTCGAAAAAACCAGACTCTTTTTGAAAAAAATCGAATTTTATTAAATAAAAAAAAAAAGTGGAATTTGATCGAAAAGCAGAAAAAGTTCATCCCTGTTAATAGATAAGGATTCTGAATATTTACTGCTAACTATGAAAAGAAAAGTTAACTTATTTATCAAATTAGTACTTTAACAAATAGTATTTTGTTACTTACATATTTTGTTACTGTTTCATTTGTTACAATACTTTAAAGTACTATTTGTTGAAGTAATAAAAATAAAGCACTTCTTTTTAATGCTCCAACCACAAACTTACCTTTCCCTAAAACATCGAATAATACATTTACTAATAATATGTATAATTGTGCCTAATTACATAAAAAAAACAATCGACATTAAACATACTTAGTATAAGGATGAGTTTGGTAAAAAATCTGAAAATAGAAATTCAAATGCCATAAGCAAAGCACACTTTAAATAATTGAAAAATACCTAATATATATATATTTTTAAATAGAGTAAAAACAAAACTCTGTGTGTGATTTTGAAATCGCTCAAATATGTATTGTTATGGGCAGTTTTAAATCCTGCTAATACAGACCACTACATGTAATTTTAAATTGCTTAATAAGAATCACAATTTATGATTTTATATTGCATGAAAACGAATTGCGTTGTACGATTTTAAATCTCACAAATATGAACCATGCTGTGTGATTTTAAATCTCGTTTACATGGGTAGAAAAAGCGTAAAAAATTTATCTTTTTAGGAATTCAATACCTTTTTGTAAAGGCAGAATTTTATTAAATTGAAAAAAATAAAAATAAAAAGTGGAATACTATCATAAAGCAAAAAACGTTCATCCTCGATAACAAATATTTTTGCGAATGATTACTTCTAACAATGAAAAGTACAGTTGAACTTATTTACGAAGTTTTGCTATAGTAATAACTCTTTTTAGATTTGTGAAAGTACTATTAAAAATACGAGCTGGGACTGTGAAGCCCAAAGACCTACAGAGACATTCGCCTCCACTGCCTTTTTGGTGTGGGGATATATAATTTCGAATCGCCTTTTTTTAGACACATCAGTGTTTTCATTACAGAAGAAAAATGGGAGAGAATTTCTCACCCTTTCTCCAAAACAGGGTGAGATTTCTAAAAAAAAAAAAAAAAAAAAAAAAAATTAGCCAGGGGNAAAAAAAAAAAAAAAAAAAAAAAAAAAAACACGAATAAACTTGAAAAAAAAAATTCTTTCTAAACCATTGAATATTTTCATTGCATATGGAAAAAGTTCCATATCTACTTTTTCATCAGCTATTCTCATCAGTCAATCTGTTGCGATATTTTATTTTAATTCGGTTTTGGGAGCTAAATGACCTTGCAACAGATGCTGAACTATTCGGAATCACTAATTAAATTTGTAGCATTGTGCACACACTTTCCTATCCTCTACATCTGCCAGCATAGGCTTTTGAATTATTTCTGTTATAGAATAGTGAAGTTCGTTGAAGTTATTTCCATGTTTATACTTCTTGTTAGGTCTTCCAGTATAGTTTCCGCAGACTTTTACAAATTGCTGTAAATTGTCGATGGAGTTTGGTAATTCATTCACAGCTAAAAATAAAGCTAACTTTAAACAACTTATTATACAGGCAGGACTCATTTTTTTTTCTCAACACTTGCCGTAGCTGCTTTCATGTCTTTTTCAAAATGGCGTAAGACGAAATTTTTTCCAAAATTTGAGAGATTCTCGCATTTTAAAATTGATTAATAGAGTGCGCGAACTTCTCGCGTTAATAATTTTTTTAATGCGAGAAAAGAAAAAAATATGCGAGATTCTCGCGTTCTCGCACTGTAGTGAAAACACTGCATATTCATTCTTTTCATGTTACAAAAAAAAAAAAGAGAAACAAGTTAATATTTTCCTTATTTATACATTAGTGATACAAATTTTGCATAAGGTTTTATGGGGACAGTTAGTCTATTTAAAGCATAGTGAGTGTGTGTGCATATGTATATATTTAATCAAATTGGTACAGTGTAAAAATCTCAAATTTTAACAAAATTATACATTGAACCAAGATAATATAGCACATACAAAATCAAATAAAAATAAATAATATTATTTAAAAATAATTACTTGAGGATCTGGAAATTTTTTTTTAGCCAATCTCTCTAAACTTTTTTGTATGCTTGAGGTTGATTTTTGTAGTACCTTATCTGAAACATCTACCAAAGTAACATTGTGTCCAGTTTGGGCTGCTACCTGTCAAATGTAAACTTTTAAGTAAAATTTTTACTAAAAAATTAAATGAACTTTTAATTTAAAATAAGATATAACATATAATAATCCATAAATACATTGATGCAAACTTCGATCGATGTTTTGTGTTCTTTTATCTAACGTAGAACATCCTTCCCTTCTCTGTTAAATAATGAATGTTAATTTTTTTTATATGACATTCAATACGTAACTGACTTTTAAACATTGGTACTTATATCCATTCGGCTGGCTCAAGTTTTTATTTATTTAAATAAAAAAAAAGTTGAATTCAATCGGATTACATTGGTAACTTTTTAGTCAGTTCCAGCAAAATGGATAGGTGATAAAAAATTTTGAATTTGATTTTCTGTTATCGAGAGCAGTTAATGTTGAAATAGGGCTGCATAAAATTTTAACAACTACTCCAAACGATATGTTTGTAATGCAATTTGCACTTATTGATTATATTATAAGAAATTTTATGTAAGTATATAAATAGATTAATTTAATGTATGCAAGTAAACTTAACACTATTTACAAAGTGCTACAAATCTGTTAAGCTGTGAAAAAAAAACAACTTTTCCTACAAATATTTTATTAGACCTACTTTTGAACTAAAAATTTTATGAATAATTTTAAATATTGTTGTTGAATCCAGTAACCATTGAAAAACAATTGTAGATATTTAGAAAAATGGGAAGTCAATCATATCATTTCCTACTTCAAAATTGTCACCATTGAGTACTGGTTCATGAGAAACTAAAATAGGTGATGATGAAACTAAGATGTTGGAAACCTGGAAGGGCAAACCTATGCATGTTTCTGTTTGATTTAAAATTACAAGTTTAAAATCCATTTAAGTGTCTTGGTGATTGTAACTGGGGCGTTAGTTAATAAGAAATAGGTCAGTGGATAAGGAAATAGAAGAGTCTATGTCAATTATTTAAACTTCACAATGGAACATATTTCATTCTATTATATGTTTTTCTTATATAGTCAATATTTTATGATAAAATTTCAGAACTATAAATTTTTTTAAAATTCCTGTTGGTAGTTTATGAAGAGCTACAATGTATAGTGCAAATGAAACTGATTACCTTAATTATTTTCCACCCAACTCGAATAACAAGAGAACTTCTTAAAAAGTTAGTCCTTTAAATAAAAATATTACAAATATCTCAGAGAAAATATTTGGAGAATAAGCAATAAAACAAATAACTAAATAAACCCACTTACATTATCTGGAAAAAAAGAATAATTTTAGTGAATCAATTATATAATAAAAGAACATTCCTTAAAATTCCACATTATTTATTATAATACGGGGGAATAATATGCTTAAAAACAATTTACAAGTTAATATTAAGGTAAATATTCGTGAATCGACGTCATGGTTTAAGGAAATGAATTAGCATGATCAGTAATATAAGATAACATACTTGGGCGATACCAGAACCCATAAGGCCTCCACCTATAACAGTAACATTTTTTAAAGCTAGTTTTGCAGAGGTAGAGGAAAAAGATCGAGTAGTATTAAGAAATAGAGAGGCCATGTTCAATCAAAGAAAATCAGCTCCAGATCAATATAATTTTGACAGTGAAGTCTTAAATTTTAGAATGAGAGTGAAGTTACCGCTGTCAAGTAAGATACGATCGAAGGTAAATAAGTAGAACCTTGAACGATTGTTGATTCAGATTCAGATACTTGTATAAAAGATAAGTAATTGATTGCGCGCAATACGATACGATTGCTTCCTAAATCATTTAACCTTTCTATCGATAAATTATTTTATCGATAATACATCAATTTTGTTTGGGCACTAGATGGCGCTACTGAAGTGGAAGAAAATCTGATTCTTTGCTTACGATTTGATAGAGTAATTTGCATCATTTTTCAGGAGATGTCGTAATTAGTAAAGAATTATTCATTGTTATTTACATTTTAAGTAATTTTTAAGATCGGGGGTTAAAATTGCTCCTCGTAGTCGATGTCCAAATTTCAGGACCCTGACACAAAGGGTTCTAGAGTTATAAGAGATAGTGCTCTGAAGCACCTGACCGAACAGACAAAAATACTGAGTAAACACAAAAGAAAAGTTAAATACAAATTATTTAAAACTGTGCTCTTTAAGTAGACCAAAAAGGAAATTATTCTCTTATTTTTATCAGATCCAACCAAATGAGCCAGTTCCTATTTAGTACTTTATTTATGCCACACGAGAGCTGACAATGGTTTAGGAAACGTCTCTGCTTATAATCCGATGACAGCCCAGTAGATCACAAAAGTCAAACATGAATGGCTGCGGTCAGTGAGTGGGTGGGTGGCAACTTTAATCAGCTTGCGAAGGGATCAAGGATTCGTGGTGTCTGTCCTCTTTAAACTGTTTTATTGTAAAGTCTCCATTTGGATCTATCAAAGCGGGGTGCAAAGCATTTTGAAGCTCTATGGCGACGTAAATGAAATATTAATACTACTAAAGACGTTTTTTTTTGTTGTTATTTTATTTCATTATTTTTAGTTTAATGTATGTTTGTATAGGTCAGAAAGAGTTTAAAACTTCGACTGATAATAAATTTTGCACGCAAAAAAATGTAACTTATATTGGCATCAAATTTAGGCTATCTGAAAACTGAATTACAGGATTCTAGCATCACAAACACGAAAGTTCTTCTATACAAACGCAATAAAATGCAAATGTATTTTATTACTCGGTTACTTTCGGTTACTTTGGCTGTTTGTATGGTTGAATCTGAATTTCTTTTTTTATCTACTCTAGGTTCACTTTCATTTATTTATTTTCCTGGATAATAAAATCGTTTTTTTTTTTTTTTTTTTTTTAGATTTTAATAATAATCATTGTTGCATTTTGTTTCATCAAATTATAGTATTAAAAGCATCATCCAAAGGGATTAAACTTCATGAATATTCTTTAATTCATTCAAACATTAAAATTCTCTGACTTATACCACTTTCCAAATGGACTTTTTGAATGAACTTTCAAAATAACGGCATAATTTTTTTAAAATTTTAAAAAAATTATGCTGATTGTAAAAAAACAGTCAGTTTGTATGTTTTACTGAGATTTATAATGACATATGTTTATTGAGATTTATATGAGCGACAATCTTTAATAGCGTTTGATTTATTCAATACTCGGTGATCTTTTATGAATGTAAAGTTAAGGCTTCATTAATAGTTAGAGATTGAAAAAAAAAAAAAAGAGAGCCTGTTTTTTTTTTTATTTTTTTTTAACGCCATAGCGTTTAAAACCCACTAACCATTATTTGCGTTTTAAAAGCAGTTAAATTTGGTACAATATAGTGTGTTCGCCGTTGAATTATATTTTGTAAGAAAATTAATCTGATCTTAATCTGAAATCCAACACAGTGAGAAAAGAAAACATCTTAGTAGAACTGACGAAAATGCCTCATATAAAAATTCTTGATTAGATAATTTCATTACATTGTATTATTATGAAAATACCTGTTCTATTTAATAAAGACTAAAATGGATGATTACATAAAAAGATATATATACTTTACTCCAAAAATTGTTGTTCAATGTTGAAAAAAAGGAAGCATTCTTATATTTTTAATTTTTTAATAAATTTCCATCACAGTTAATCTAAATAATAGAAGTGGTTTAAATGTTTTTCGAGACATAATTGTTTATCTTTTAAAGTTGCGATTTCGAATGGTGTCCCGAGAAGACATCGGGTTTGAAAGAGATAAAGGTGTTGCTGTTACTCATCCCCTGGTGTAGGAAAGTCTACAACAGGTCCATTTCGCGACCGTTTCCGCGAAATTTCAAGTTTTTTTCAAAAATTCGCAAATTTTTTAAAATTGCGCGATTTGAACGAAAGTTATTCAATTCGCGCGATTTAAATGAAAATTATTCACAATTTGAAGTTATTATTTAATACCATTTCATCTTTCGTCACTGACAATGCGTCTTACATGAACAAAGCATGGGAAAAAAGTTTGAAAGCAGTTTTCTTGAATGCTGTTCATGTGACTTGCAATGCACATCTTTTAAATCTCCTAGGAGAAATATGGCAAAATCAATTTGAAAAAGTGAATTCTTTTATTGTGCATTTAAAGCGTGCATTCACAGCATGTCCTTCACGTAAGGGTCGATTTCGAGCCTTTTTAGTTGAAAAGGGCAAAAACGCCGCTCTACCACCGGTTCCCGTACAAACCAGATGGAATAGCTGGTTTAAGGCAGCTTTGTTTCACGTAAATTACTTAGCTGAATATGCAGAGTTCTTCGATAAAGAGCAACAAAATAGCAGTAGTTCTTTGATCAGCACGATTTCCGAAGAATGTTGTAACGCAGAATTGAGTGAAGATTTAAGAGAGATTGAAAAATATGCATCTTTAATTTTGAATCTATTAAATTTATATGAAAAACAAAGAATAAGTTCGCATGTTATTTTTAATGAAATGTCTGATCTTGCTGAAGATTTAAAAAGCAAATCTATAACCTGCCAGCACTTGAAATCTAAAAAAGCTTTAAAATCATGCCAGGAAAAAATTCAGGCATACTTTTTTGAAGGCAATATTACAACACACAGATTTCGTCAACCAGCATCAAGCTTTTTTAAAGCATGCAGAGCTTTTGATCCTAGTCAATTCAAATACTTAGATGTTTTCCAAGAAGATGATAGTTCTTTTATTTTTAACTCTATCCCCATGTTTGAGGATGAAGAAGAGTTGAAGAACGAATTTAATGCTTACAAAGCGACAGTTAATGAACTACACGTTGAAAGTAGACAATTAATTCAGTTTTGGAAATCGAAGATGGAACGCTATCCAAAACTGTCTAAAGTGGCAATTCGATGTTTGTCAGTACCAACTAATAGCGTGGATGCCGAACGATCTTTTTCAAAATACAAAAATGTATTGAGTGATGAAAGGAGAAACATTAGCGAGAATAACCTAACCATGTATAATATTTTGTATCAAAATTCTGTACATTTAAGTAACGGCATTAATATTGCTTAAAAATAAAATTTTGTAACTTTTTTATGTTTTTTATTATTTTTAAATTGATTTTCGGTGTAAATATCAGTGCATATGTTATCCGCGAAAATTTCGCGCATTTTTAAAACTTTTGCGCGAATCACCCGCGAATTTATGTCTTTTTTTCCCGCGACAAACTTGCAACCCTAGTTATGAGCTGGTGGTAGGTGCCAAGTTGAAAGTAGTTTACTTTTGTGGAGCGAGTGGATTTTCAAGATTTCGTCTTAAAGTAAACCATAATTTAGCTTATTTTATTCATTTTTAGCTTATGTATATACACCAAAAACAAATTCATAACTAAACTGTAGCACAAGGACAGCAAATTGAACTGTCGGATATACAATCTTATTCAAGATTAATGATAAAACGATAAAAATCTTCATTCTTCTAATTATATATTTTAAAAATAGTCTTTTATAGGTAAAAACGTTCACATTTACCCGAATAAACTTTGCTTATTAAGTCGGGGTTCCACCGAATGAAGGTTAACTATTTAGGGTTCCGTAGCCGAAAAAATTGGGAACCGCTATCTTTGAGCAGCAGTTTTCAAATGGTGTTCGTAAAAGGGTTACAGGGGCTCCGAAAGTTTAATTTTTTTAAAAATCAATAATGATTTTTGAAACTTAAAATTATATTTATATCAAAACTGTAAACCATAATTTGTTTGGTAGTTCGGTTATTTTTATGATATTATTTAAATGAAAGATCACTTAAAGATATGTCAAAATTTATGAAATATTGCATCAGTGTTTCTCGTCGAACTTTTTGAAATAAAATGACCTAATTCAAGAACTACGAATAATGTTTCTATATTCTTAACGTTTATAAAAATTCTTTTTCGAAAATATAAATTAGCTTATTTTATTCATTTTCAGCGAATATATCCGGTCATTTCATTCATTTACAGCTGATTCAGAACTAGACTAAATGTCACCCCAGGCTTGCGAATTCAACTGTTTATCACAAAAACCTACTATTTTAAGAGTTTTATTGATAAAACGATTATCAAAAAGAAAATCATTTTAAACAATAAATATTATTAAAATAATTGGTAGTTTTTTAGTCATTACGTTCACAGCTGCTGATGAATTTTATTCATACGTTTGGGGTTCCGCAGCCTAAAATAATTGAGAACTGCTGTTTAGAATCTCTATTTTTTCTGAAATATGAGTACTGAAATTGATGGAGATACAACTTGACATACATGAATCTAATTTCCTTCTAAAAATGTCTTGAAAAATAAAATCAATTATTTTGAAAGATATTAAAAACGAAATTATTTAAAAATTTTTTTCCATTATTCGATAAAAATTAATATTAAGAATATTAACTTCACCTAAAAAAAAAAGCATTAAATGTTAACAAGACTGCATAAAATATGAAGCTAATTTAATAACACTCAAATGTAATTTTCAAAATAAAAGGTTTGATTATTTCTACTACTCGTATATCAAGCTATATCCGTATACCAAGGTGCTATTGGCAACTATCTTGGATTCATCCTTAACTGTAATTCAAAGAGAACATAAGATTAAATTAATTTATAGATAAAGATATATATATATATANATATCACTATGCTGTCAATAATTTTTTTTTATAGTTTTATATGCTTGATATATATATATATATATTTATAGATAAAGATATATTTGTAAGCGGTATTCCTATGCTTACAAATGAGTATT